AACCTTCAAGTATTCGATCGCGATGCTCGACAGGCAGAGGTACTTTTGTCACAACAGGAACACACTCTTGCAAAGGACGAGACGCCAGCGAACTTCGAACAAGCTGAGCATATGATTAAACGTCACGAAGCATTTATGAACACAATGGATGCGAATGACGAGAAAATCAATTCCGTAGTACAATACGCTGGAAGGCTCGTCGACGAAGGACACTTCGCTTCTGACAAAGTAAAGAAGAAAGCTGAAAACATAAATGAGCGTAGGCGAGTCAATCGCGAAAAAGCTAATCAATTGATGGAAAAATTAAAGGACCAACTTCAACTTCAAATGTTTTTACAAGACTGCGAGGAATTGGGTGAATGGGTACAAGAGAAACATATCACTGCTCAAGATGAAACTTACCGTAGCGCGAAAACGGTGCACAGCAAATGGACGCGTCATCAAGCGTTCGAGGCCGAAATTGCGAGCAACAAAGATCGCTTGCAACAATTACAGAAAGCCGCGGACGAATTGGTTCAACAGAAGCCCGAATTTGTGGAGCTCATCAAACCGAAAGTAGCCGAGTTAGGTGATCAATTTACCGATCTTGAAACTACCACCCACGACAAGGGTGAACGTCTCTTCGATGCCAATCGCGAAGTGCTGATACATCAAACGTGCGACGACATTGATTCGTGGATGAACGAGTTGGAAAAACAAATAGAAAGTACCGATACCGGTTCGGATTTGGCATCTGTGAATATCTTGATGCAGAAGCAACAGATGATTGAGACTCAAATGGCAGTGAAAGCACGACAGGTTACAGAATTGGACAAACAAGCAGAGCATCTACAACGTACCGTACCGGATGATAAGATGGAAGAGATCAAGTGTAAGAAAGAAAAGGTTGCGCAAAGATTTGCACAATTAAAGGCACCTTTGATAGATCGGCAAAGACATCTTGAGAAAAAGAAAGAAGCCTTCCAATTTAGGCGAGACGTCGAAGATGAAAAATTATGGATAGCAGAAAAGATGCCGCAAGCTACGAGTAACGAATACGGTAATTCCCTCTTCAATGTACACATGCTTAAGAAGAAGAATCAATCGCTGCGCACGGAGATCGATAATCACGAGCCTCGAATCAATTTGGTATGCAATAATGGACAAAAATTAATCGACGAAGGTCACGAGGACAGTTCTGAATTTAATAGGCTCATTTCGGAATTAACGGAGAAGTGGAAGGAATTAAAAGACGCGGTAGACGACAGAAACAAGCATTTACTTCAAAATGAAAAGGCACAACAGTACTTCTTCGATGCCACCGAGGCAGAATCTTGGATGAGCGAACAAGAATTGTACATGATGGTCGAAGATCGTGGCAAGGACGAAATCTCGGCTCAAAATCTTATGAAAAAACACGAATCTTTGGAACACGCCGTCGAAGATTATGCCGATACAATTCGTCAACTTGGCGAAACTGCTAGACAATTGATAAATGATCAACATCCATTAGCTGATCAGATCGCGGTGAAACAATCGCAGGTAGATAAATTGTATGCCGGCTTGAAAGACCTTGCCGGTGAACGTCGTGCTAAATTGGACGAGGCTCTTCAATTGTTCATGTTAAATCGAGAGGTTGACGATTTGGAACAGTGGATCGCAGAAAGAGAACTGGTAGCCGGTAGTCACGAGTTAGGCCAAGATTACGATCACGTTACTCTTTTGTGGGAAAGATTTAAGGAGTTCGCACGTGATACCGAAGCAATTGGTTCAGAAAGAGTTGCTGCGGTTAATGGTATTGCCGATTCGTTAATAGCAAACGGACATTCGGATGCTGCTACGATAGCCGAATGGAAAGACGGCTTGAACGAAGGTTGGCAAGATCTGCTCGAATTAATCGAAACTCGTACACAAATGTTAGCAGCTAGTCGAGAATTACACAAATTCTTCCACGACTGCAAAGATGTTCTTGGTAGAATTCTTGAAAAACAAAATGCCATGTCCGATGAATTGGGTCGCGATGCTGGATCGGTGTCTGCGCTTCAACGTAAACATGCTAACTTTATGCAAGATTTGTCAACTCTGCAAAGTCAAGTATCACAGATACAAGAAGAATCAGCAAAATTAGAAACGAGTTATGCCGGAGACAAGGCAAGGGAAATTACAAATCGAGAATCTGAGGTGGTCGCTGCATGGAACAACCTTCAATCCTTGTGTGAAGGTAGACGAGCGAAATTAGAAGACACTGGAGATCTGTTTAGATTCTTCAACATGGTTAGGACTTTAATGATTTGGATGGACGATGTTGTAAGACAAATGAACACAACTGAGAAGCCACGAGACGTTGGTGGTGTCGAACTCCTAATGAATAATCATCAAAGCTTAAAAGCAGAAATTGATGCCAGGGAGGACAATCTCATGGCATGCATCAATCTTGGAAAAGACTTATTAGCTAGGAATCATTATGGAAGTGCTCAAATAAAAGAAAAATTAGCAGCACTAACGGACCATAGAAATGCCCTATTACATCGATGGGAAGAACGTTGGGAGAATCTGCAGCTGAGTAAGTTTTTTTCCTGATTATTCGACTCTCTTTCTTCTTGTATCAAATGTAAGTATTTTTATATTTCTTTGGATTCTTTTTTTAGTTCTGGAAGTCTATCAATTTGCTCGAGATGCTGCTGTCGCTGAAGCATGGTTAATCGCTCAAGAACCATATCTTATGAGTCAAGAACTTGGCGTAAGCAATACTTCAACATTTTGATCATTATCATCATTATTATAATTTATTATTATTATTATTATTATTATTATCGTTATTGCAGCATACTATCGACGAAGTCGAAAACTTAATTAAAAAGCATGAAGCATTTGAAAAATCAGCGGCTGCACAAGAGGAAAGGTTTAGTGCCTTGCATCGACTTACTACTGTATGTAATACAATTCTATGTCAACATATACTGTATATTTTTATTGATTTTTATGGTCACAAATATAATTGTATTTTTGGTGCAGTTTGAATTAAAAGAATTAAAGAGACGAGAACAAGAGAAAGAGGAAGAGGAAAGAAGAAAGAAAGAAGAAGCTGCGGCAGCTGAAGCGGCAAGATTAGCGAAAGCAACTCCTGTTACTAGCCCTGACGAACCACCTAGCGAAAGGTACATTTATTTTTAATTATAATATAAAAAATTAATGTGATATAAAAACATCTTTAAAATTAAATCTCTATTTTGTTATTTAACATTTTGCATTTTTGCAATAGAACCGAAGCCGATGGGGTGCAGAGCGGTGAACGTGCAGCAGGAGAGGATGACTCGCATGGTAAGATTATTATGTTTTCAATTATTCAATATATTTTTTGCAAAAGATAATTCTAAAGAAAAATAGTCTTTATTTTGACACTTATTATTATTATCTATCACTTATTTGGCATAGAGTCATAATCAAGGTTTTTAAATTTCATAAGACGGCTGGTTCATATTTCGAATCAACTAGAGTTGCAAACTTAAAATCGTGAAATAACGATAAAATATTTGATTGATAACACTTAACGTGAAATTTAAAATTGAGAGAATGATTGGATTTTGTTTGATTATACTAATACAATATAGTTAGTAACATCGCTTCTTGCGATTATGAACTTAACTGTTTGGCAACTGGATTTATAAATATGGTTTGTTTGGATAAGCATGTAATCGCTAACAGCACGTTTATTTTTGCCTTTTTTCCTCCATCAAAATGTGTTCCTTACCAATTTTGGTCCATTCAACCTTATATTGTCCCCGAATGCACCCTTAATGCGGCACGGAATGCACAAACACCACAGTGACACACCGCAAGGCTTCCACGCGTACACCACAGCCTCAAGATAAACCTAAGGAAGGTGAGTGTTTTTATCAAATATATTATTACCACAAAGACATTTTTTTTAGGCTTCGAAAATTGTTTTTTTTTTTTATACCAAATAATTTTATCTTATTATTACTAATGAAGAAATTGTATGCAATGATATATTTTGATGTTTCATTTCAAATTAAATAGTTATACCTATGCACATACATTTTTTTTTTCTATCAGCTGTGCTCATTGATCATCCTGTCTTTTTACATTTGGTGATGGATTCTACCGCTAGTCATCTACTTATTTTTACATTTACATTTATCTGTGTTTCCTATAAATAATCTTATATCTTTCAGCATATTTCTGGCGATTGTGGATACATCTTTTTATCATTATAGCTGCTATATCGTTCACTTGCTTTTATTAATTTTTCCAACAGGTGATGGCATTACTCCTTTGTCTCCGATGTTTTTCTTACCATTTATCTTAACATATACGTCATCGATTAAAATTTAAACGCGATTAACAAATCACATTATCATTTGAAATATTTTATGTGTTGTACGACCAAAAAAAAAACAAACAAACAAAATTTATATTCATCATTCATTGAACATCTACAGATACTTAAAAATTTTTCTCATCTGAATTGGTATGTACACGTTACATTTGTCATTTATAATTCATTTAATCGACAAAAAAAAAACAACTTCACTTTTTATTGAGGTAAGATTTGGTATATTGTGTTTGTAAAAAAACATAAATTTGCATCAAAATAATTATTTATCTAAGTATATTTAAATATAAAATATCAAATTGTCTTATTATTTGAATAATCAAAGTTATGTACGTATATTCGTCGATTTCATCTATTTACAATATTGTGTAACAATGTAAAAATCTGTGCTTTATTCTTCTTTCTTAAAAACTGATAGAACATTGTAGATTCTTCTTACATTTATATTTATATTATTGATCAGAGCTTATATGTATAATGTATTTAAGAGATAAAGATCGCATGATTTAGTAATTGGTGTGGTGGTGTAGTGCATGCTCAGAAATCTACCCAATTGCCTTTGGCGGGAGAAACAACGTCACCCGATACACAAATTACTACGAAGTCTCGTCCAAGTGGCCTATCCACTCCAACCAGTAAGTATTTTCTTCTATAAATGTCTTTATTTTTAAACATAATATGGATGAAAATTAGATGTATTGATATGATACAATGGTAGTATTTATTTGTTATTATTTGACAGTTTATGAAAATTAATTAGAAGTAGTGTCAAAATAAATAGAATTGTGCCTAGATACACGTTTTTGTTGGATCGGACCTAAGGGACACGTGTCGCCAAATTTATCTGCAAATTGACACGCTTGCAGTAGTCTTAAAATTTCATCAACGGAACGCGAAATGGCATCGTCATTTAAATTCACGTGTCTTATTAATTGCTTTGGATCTATTATAAACAAAGCCCTGATTGCTATTCCTCGAATCTCATCTAATACGCCATAATCATTAGAAATCTTATGATTTTTATCAGCTAATACGGGAATTTTCATTTCACCCAAGCCTCCTTGTTTTCTCGGAGTAGTTATCCATGCCAAATGCGAATATTCCGAATCTGTTGATACAGCAACAACTTCTGCATCTTTTATATGCATGGAAAATATAATAATGAAAATCAGTCAAATTAATTTAATATGATTTGTATAAAAATTAACGAAATTCTTACTAAGGATTCGAAATTCATTGATGCGTTCGCTGAATTGAATGATTTCTGTTGGACATACGAATGTAAAATCATATGGATAAAATAATAGTATTACATATTTTCCTTTAAAGTCTTGTAATGATAAATCTGTAATTTTGGAATTAATTACTGCGTAACCTGACCAGAATGGGGCGGGATATGATACTGCTGGTATCATTAGTATTCGTGGAATAATATCCTTGTTTGTTTCTTCAATACAACACGATCCCATATTTAGAATTATTTTTAAACGATTGTATCATAATAATGCATATAATTTATACGTTAATGTGATAGCCATTGATCTAAATTTGAACTAAATGTCGAAACAAGATGAAGTAATCTGAAGCATAACCATTAAAGTCACTGATATATAGCGAGTGTCAATTAAAATCCTACACCTTTACGTGTTTAATAGATTTTTGTTTGAAAATTACTGTGACACTCGTTGTATTCATTTTACCAAACTGATATATAACTTTGACTCTTATTAATTTATCAAGAATTTATTATTATTTATTTCAAAAATTGTAATTAAATATGGGTATTACCTTGTACTACCGACATACACTTACTTATACATACAAGTACTGATTATACAATGATAGTATTAGAAGAAATATTGCTTTGTTTTTCTTTTATTTATACAATTATTAGCATTGCTCATTTGTTATTATTATAATAGTATATTCGTGCATGAGCATGTTGCATGAACGTGCTTTCGTAAGGTTTACACTTAAATGTTAAAGGACGTGAAAAATGGTGTAAAATTAATACGGATACCCAGAATTCTAGTATCAACTTGTTTACCTGATCGAATCTACAAGCTAGATGAGAAAGGAGTAAGTAGTTAATAATATTGTGTGTTGCGTATATTATTAAGCTCCCAAAGGTGGAAGTGGTTCCGAATCTGGTACTTTAAGGCGTAAGGAACGCAGTCGCAGCAAATCGCCCTTCAGAAGCTTCCGATGGAAAAAATCGACCAAATCGCCCAGTTTAGATCGCAGCGGTGTGAGTGATGATGAGCACAGCATTCCTGGTAAGTTGTATGAGCAATAGTTGGTCAACAGTTGTTACTATTTATTGACTTTTTACCAGTCAAACAATCATATGTCGTATATTCTTATTTGGTACATTCTTTGAAAATGAATGACCTGTAAGTTTACATTCTAATGTAAACTCTAATCTTTAGATATAAAATTGATGCGTAGGATTAAAGATCTTTACCTATTAACAGTATAATAATAAAAGTCTCGTTTATAATACTTTCAGGTACGTCGTGTTATTCATATAGGTGAAAGGAGAAAAGTATGATGCATAGGTGTTGTCTCTCCCCTTTAGTATAAGTATACTATTAACTATGAATATTATTTTCAGATTGACTTCATTGATCAATATGATCGAGTAACATGTAGTTGTTGGGCAGGAGGGGAGGGAGGGCTTGATTACAGTACAATTATTTTATTAAATTAAATTATGTTATATATATATATATATCAAATATATTAATAAATCATTTTTACTTTATCCTCTTTATCAAAAGCTGACATCGTATTACTTTCTTTCAGAGCAACGTAGTCCCAGCGACGACGAATTTGAAGGAACACTGCAAAGAAAGCATGAGTGGGAAAGTACAACAAAGAAGGCAACTAATCGTTCGTGGGAGAAAGTATACATAGTTATACGCGGACATAAATTGTTTGTATATAAAGATCAAAAGACATATAAGGCTTCACCTGATCAACGGTACAAAGGAGAAGCACCCCTTGACTTGAGCGGTGCGACCATTACTATAGCCACCGATTACACTAAGAAGAAACATGTCTTCCGAGTAAAGTAAGTTCGAAATGTTTTTGAAAATATCCAAAGAAATAATTATAATTAATGACTTGTGTTGTTTGTTGGATTACAGGTCGCAAGGCGGATCCGACTTCTTGTTCCAGGCCAAAGATGATGCAGAAGTAAATGAATGGATATCGGCATTAAATCAAGCAGCACAAGGTACATCCGGTGCAGGTTCATCTAGAGCACATACTTTGCCTGCTCCAACGCAAGCCGAGACTAAGCGGCGCAGTTTCTTCACTCTCAAGAAAAAGTGAGTTTTTTCCTTATTTTCCATGTACTTCGGTCGTATATTTTAGTATGATAAACAACATATCAACATATTATCATTGCATGTATTATATAAATTTTATTAATCATATTGACCACGTGTACAAATCTACTAATTTTTATCATCTTGTACATTCAACTCATGTCAGCAAAATTCTCTCATTTTATCATTTCATCCATGGTCAGCCACATTTTCCTCCTCTTTTTTTTCGTAGTTTTCTTCTACAACATCTTAACATATCGTAGTTCACATCTTCGTTCGTAATATATTTCGCGTAACGTAAAAGCGTTACACATTTTCGCTGTTTATTTGGAAGAATCGGCTGATTAGGAGGATCATTCATATCATCTATTGAGTCTGAGTGTAATGAAAGCTTCCCTAGACAGTTGCATGTACAAGCATTGAAAGTATTCATATTTCATACGAAAATTCATATTTTATTATTTTAATATAATATTTGATTATAAATGAAAACATGGTGATTAAGAAAAATTTAAATGTCAGCATTGAATTTCAAGTCTCTTCTTCAAATTTTCACACTAAATTCTATTAGCTACATCTATTCATTCGATCATATCATCGCATTTATCATATTTTAGAAAAGCCAAAAAGTAGAAAGCGAAACCAATGAACATAAGAAACAGTACACAATTGGAACAACATTTAGAGAGATGCGGTGAGTCGCACACACTCCTAGATCGTTACCGTCGTAATATTGCACGATTAATCGATAATCATTACAGTTATTTTCTGTTTCTTTCATTTTTTCCATTATAATTAGCTTCTTGGAAATACAAGAGGAATGTTCTTCCAATTGTGAATGCGGAATGATGACAGAATTCTCTGAGAACAGAGAATTAGTCTTTATGTGCAGAGCTTTATGTGTTTCATATGAACCATATTGAAAACTTGTATCCAAACAATAGCAATCATTTAGTAATATGACTCGTTATTTAGAAAATTATATTGTTTATAATAATATCAATTTAAAGTTTGAGTACGTTTTTAAAATAGTAATATTATGGTAACCATATGAAACACAATTAGGTGTTTTCTTTCACATTTTCTTCATTGCTTCTATGTAAAATATTCATTTATCTGTATATTAGTATGTATTATGTAGACACTGAAAATATCGTACATTATTGTTATATCATTAGACTAAATTGTTGTCATACGCCTTTTAATTGCTTTCCACTATTATCACCATTTAATCTTTATGCTTTTTCAGTATTAGGGTTATATATTTGTCTGAATATCATTTATCATCAGTTTTCACCCGTAGTAGAAGCAATTTTCTTCAATTTTCTGAAAATACATCTATGATCACAAATCTTGGTTCTATACAATATTATGTGTAACACTTTAGTCATCGTTGTATTGTGTCTGTTTTTACACAGTATCCATATTTAATAATTTATTGTAATTATATTGAAAAAGTGCATCAAGTATATATAAAACATCGAAATAAAAAGAATTGTTGGCAGTAACAAGAAATAAATGTTATGGAGAATGATTTAGTAAGAATAAGTCAGATGATATTGTACAAGAACATTATAAATAATTAAAAATGATTAGTTTTACTTGTACTGTATATGTATAACTATTAAACATTTATATTGAAATTTATTTTCAGCTAAACTGGAGCAGTGAAGTCTGGTATAAGCCGCTCCTATGCGCCAGCGCAACAACATGTTTAAAGAAATGTTTCGTCGCTCTACGTGGTTAAAGCAACGCTAATATAAAAATAGAAGACATGGCCATGGTGTTTTCAAATTAATTGAAGGACAAATTTATCGCGTCATTTAAAAATGCCTACAATATGAAGAACTCAATAACGTGATAAGTTATGTTAATATTTAAAAGTAGGCTATTTAAAGTCTGTATTTAGTTCTTCAATGAATTTTGGACACTGCAATATTGCTAGTTAAAAAAGAGTGACATTAAAAAATGTCCCATGTTAGTGTGGTCTCAATGATTTCTTTCTTTTAGAATTATATAGATCATTTCTTTTATTTTACAACACATACACATATATAGACATACATACATATATATATATATATATATATACATATATATTTATATCTAATTTATCTTCTTGACTATGATTAAAAATACAAATTTAATTACAAAATTTTTACATTTTTTATGCGCGCGTGTGGATGATTACATAATTATATTTCAAGGCCTTGTAGAATACAAAAATATGACTTGTAGTAGTATCATGAAGGATATTTGTATCACCAAAATATATCCATAATATCTGTAAATGATATATCATTCTTGTTTAAAGTGTATAAAGTATAATATTATACCTTAATTGTAATGAAAATAATTATTTTCTTTTTAATCTATATTTCATTGCCATTAATTTTATTCTCGAAGCTTTTAATTTTGCTCGCAAACGATTTGTTTGCGTTTGAATAACTGCCATATATTTTAACATACACACTAATTTGGGACATAATATTATAATAAATTAGCTTTTAACAAATTGTTAAATATGCATTGCCCTAAAGGGAAATACGCATTGAAAAATTATAAAAAAAAAAAAAAATCTGTAACAATTAACAAGAGTTCCCTCTTATATGATCCTAATTATTATAATTCTATATAGAATTGAAAAAGATATTGAATTCTTGAAATATGTGCAAATATTATCATTTATATCAAGTATATGTGAAAGATGAGACAGTTAACAGTTTCATTTTGTCAGTAAGGGAAATCACATTCATCATTTGATTTCGCCATATAAAATGCTTGATAATATGGTCTTATATTACTTTTATAATTGTTAATTTTTTTAATATTTATCAAGTTCATCTTGTTTTTTTTTAGAATATAAGATTTCACAATCATACATTTAGAAAATTTTCCGAACAACTTTTAAAGATTAAGCGCTTACTTTGATAATCATACAATTCCTTATAAGAAAACATTTATTTCTTTTATAAATCAATGCGACTCATTGAATCTGACTTATTCCATTTAATGGAACGCACGCTCTTCTTAGTAATAGTATATCTTATCTTTATGAATTTTTTAATAGCACTTGCCGAACGTTGGAGAATAAAAGGGTTGTTAGTATAATGAGATCATAATAATATTAATAAGACTCGTTCCACAGGGAATTGTATATACAAAAATATATAATATGCCCATTTAAAAAATACCAGCTTAATCAAAAGAAATAATGCATACGCTTTTATGAGTTGATGATGATACATGTGCATTAAACATAAAATATTTCTAAATGTTAGAGTCGCATTGGAACAAATATTCACCACGATTTGGTATGTAATAGCTATGTGTTTTCTATATACATGCATATATGTGCATTTTTATATGTATATATAAAATGTATTTTTTATATATATATATAATATGCAAATAATAACAAATTTTAAGTTATATCAAAATGATTATAATATAGATAATATATAATTGTAAAACTAAAAGATTGATCTTTTCGTTTTAAAACGGCCTTCTTCCTCATAAAAAATAAATTACAGGTAATAGGTGAAACGTCATCGACGCCAAGCTTCGCTAATCATCAATCAACATTAACTACTACGATCTGCGCATATAATTTTTCATTTATCAACCAATGTGATTATATCTCAAATTTTACTTTCTATGTTTTTATATAGAAAATATTATATGTACAGCTGGGCTATAGTATCGGATATTTCAAGGGGCCGCTTTAACAGGAAAAGAACTTATATGCAGTATCGTGTAATTGTTATTATTACAACTGCACTTTTGGAATTGTCAAGCTATATATATTTATATTTATATGTTTAATTTATATGAAATTTATATTTTGTTTTCGTTATTGAAAAGTTAACAATCGTAATATTATTTTGTTTCATTATTATTATTGGGCACATAGATTCATTTTATTTCTTTGACAGAAAAAAATATTTATTTGTTTGTCCTTCCTTTTTTATATTATTTTATTCACATTAAAAAAAGCATGAAGGAGCACTGTAATGCATGCACTTATATTTAATAAGTGTAACGTTATTAATGATACATCAATTTTGAATGTGCCTTTCTCTATAGCTTTCTAAAACTTTATTCGATAAAAATGTATTATATAAGATGAATTGATAATTGCTACTAATGTTGTAAACACACAATTTAATGATATTTGTTATTCTTTCGATATGGATACGTTCGAATGAACAAAACTGTTGATTATCTAACGTTTTTCTTATAAAAGAAAGGTATTAGAAAGATATCTTGATTCTGAAGTTTATTGAAAGTGCTTTGTAATGAGTGTATTGTCCCTTTCTCGGTCAATACTTGGATGTAATAGTATATATGTAAAAGTATAGATGGAAACTGCCAATACAGAGAAAAGAATGATTTTAGATGATAGTACTATTTCCTAGTGCTTCAATTTACTGCTTTATATCCAGTTTTCAAAACCCAATTGAAATCACAGTATATTATTAAATGTTTATACTTATAAGATAGAATAAAAATTCGTCATGTGCTGCAAAAAGTAATGCATTACTTATTTATAATTTATATTGGATGTACAATCATATAAAAATGATTATAAGGTATGTAAAACCATTTATTATCAATATTTTCATTAACTAATGTTGCAATAGAATATGTTGTTATATATATATATATCATTCGTAAAGATTTCTTTCAATTTAATACGCACATCTTGTGAGAGTATTTACATCATCTATTATACGCACACATGTGTATAATAGGTGCGCGCGCGTTTAATTTTTCACCCTCATATGAATGTATGGTATTCGTATGTTGCTCGATGCACGCATAATCGCATTGCGCATGCGTGAAAACGCCGCATACATTCCCTCCTTTCCCCCACCCTCTGATATTGCGCGTGTGTTCATCCTGTCATTGAAAAAGTCAGTCTTAGCAAGATGGCCGGCCGGACGAGTTCGGCCTTTTGTTATTGCGCCCTTATATTTTACCTGTTTTTCCTCACCGGTTCGAATAACGGTGAAAGATTTGGTGATAAACCAAAGACCTTACACATCTACAAGGATAACGAGTCTCTACATTCAAGGAAGACTATTATTATCAATAAAGATACCTTTAACGAAAACGATAATGGAGAAACGTCATACCATCAACGAACGCGCAGAAGTGACGAATCACGAAATCTAAACAAGCCAAATATTACTGTCAAGGTGCGTTATTTCTTGTTATCTCTTTTTCGATTTGTTTCATAAAAAAAAGAATTCAATTCGTTCTTTAGCATAGGATAATAATTTTATCTTATTTCGCAGTTTTTTTCTTTCATTTTTATCATTCTCTCTTTCTCTTTCTCCTTCTTTTCTTAACTTTAGCAGCGAGCAAGTAGTCGCCAATGGTCCACGTTTTCTTGCGTTCTTTCTTTCTCTTTCCCACTCTCTTTCGCTCTCCCTCTTTTCTCTCTCTCTCTCTCGCTCTCTCTTCTATACGACAAAGATTGTCGTATTTACGATTAATCTCCCTCGTTTGCGACAATTCTCCATCGTTATTTGCTACTTCCTGTGTTACAAGAATAGCTATAACATATAGCTACATAGGGCTTCTATGTCATCGTCGTGCAGTAAAGGATAATTGACATGTTATGCACCTTCTAGAATAAATTTAATCAAACGCGTTAAAACGATATAGCGTCGTCATGTTCCTTCTGTCCTTCTGTACTTCTGTTATTAAAACGCGGAGGTCGATAACCGTTGTTTAGTTTGCATAGCTTATCATTTTACAGCCCTACATGATTATTTTTAAATAAACACATTCTTGATTTGTAAATAGAAACATATCAGAGATTTCTAGTCATTTAATCTAGTAGAGAATTCTGATCGTAGAACATCTGTTTTTTTCTCCTTCGTTATTTTATCTATCTATCTAAAAATGACCAATGTTTTTTTTTTTTTTTTTTTTACAGTCACTATAGTTTCTTGGAACAATACATAAGTCAGTAATTAGCTGCATCATATTCTATTGTATTTTTTCGCTTATCGTATATTAGCGAAAAATGCATTGTTAAAATAAAATAACATTTAATGTAATAAAATATTTCAAATGAATTAAATTAAAATATAATTGATTAAAAAACTTTTCAAAATATTAAATGTCACATTTTACTGCTCGATTAAATTCCTTTCATATTAGATGGGTAGTCCCAGTGTTATCTTTTTAAAAATATTTCTTTTATTCTGCCATAACAATGGCTATAAGCTTGTCGTGTCATGTGATAATTACTCGAGTATCAATATGATTATATTACTGATGAGTTTTGATTAGTAGAGACTGATAAGCATTGAAAAGTATTTGTAATAACATTCAAAATTATTTCTTACATTTACTTTTATAATATAAATAATTGAATGAACATATTATTATGTTAAGTATTCAAATTTGTCTTTCACTTTTGACTTTCAAGGTTCTTTTTTTCTTCTTCATTTTTCTATCTCATGTAGATACATTATGAATCATTAAATGATTCATCCTTTTTAATCAAAAGACCTTTGAGCATCGTTCCAAGATCAAACTAAATTGATTTGAGCAATTTTCCTATATTCAATTTGTTCATGTTATTCAATTACAATATATATTCATAAACAAGTTGTTATCGAAGATAAATTGTCTGAACATGATAACAAATAATTCATTGATTAGGATATTGTTAAATAGGATGATAAAGAAAGATATAAGATATAATATTTTTATGTATATATTTACAGGTAAACGCATTAAATGATTCTCATCAACAATTGATGGTGCATTGGGTCGGTGAAGGATCAAATGTGATAATATGTCTAGCAAAAGACAGTACTCCTTTATTACGGATGCAAGAAAGTAATCCTAGCGCTGTGTATATAAGTTATGACTATGGAGATACGTTTGAGAATAAGACTGAACAATTCAGAGTTTCTTATGAATACAATGCACGATATGCTACTTTAGATAAATTTACTAATCATCCAAAGAACTATCAATATGTAGGTTTATTCTATTTTATTTTATTCATTTATATGACAAATATTTTTGAAGTATGACAAAGATTAAATATAAAATATTATTTTATAATTTATAGTGCATTTTTGTGGACAGTACAAACAGCTTAATATTCATTACGAGGAATAATGGTAGAACTATTAGAAGAGTACCCGTTCCGTTTCATCCAAGTGAAATTTCATATTGCGAGTCAGATCCACGTGTTGTATTAATATTAGACAAAATTGATCCTATGAGACAGGTAATGCATTTTACAATGTAATGTCTAAATTATTTGTCAAATATTTTTTAACTCTTTTATATTCTTCAGTTATGGTTATCAAAAGATTATGGATTTAAATGGGTATCCATACAAACATACGTAAAAGCATTTTTCTGGTCGTCACAATGCACCATATTAGTCGAACGTACAGAACCATCTGGGTCTAATACTGTCATACGAGCAAAGTATGAAGATGTATTACTTCATGGAAGAATGGAAATACATGATGAGTTGTTACATGATTTGCAACCCCGATTATCTCTTTTGTCGCATCACCACAAAGGAAATCCAACTCAGACAGGAGGGAATCATGCAGGAGACTATAATGTTGTAATCCAAAATGTTGAAGATTTTCAAATCAAGGGAGATTATATGTTTGCAACATCAAAATCTTCTAAGGTTGGTATAAATAGTCATTTATATAAAGGAAAGAAATTGTTCTATTCTGTATACATTAGTATGCGAGCTGCATAATTGAGTTGCTTTTTTGTTTTTTTACAGAACGGTTCTTCGGATAATTTAGATTTATATGTCTCTTACAAAAATCAAAAATTTGTATTAGCTCAGTTTAATACTGAGTTGGATCGTAAAAATTATCATATTGCAGATGTAGCAAATAATAGAGTCTTCGTTGCAGTTGCTCACAGTGATACCATGGTAAATCTTTATATATCGGAAGTAATTAATCATAAAAAAGCTATATTTTCGTTATCATTGGAAGGAATTCTTACATTTTTCCCTAATAGTACATGGAAAGATAGTTGGATAAAGTAAGTTAAAAGAATACTACATAATTAAAATAAGTTTATTGTTAAATTTACTTACTTTTTAATATATATATATATATATATTGTTATTCAATAGTGATGTCGCTGACGAAGCTTTTACAGATTTGTATAGAGTAGAAGGATTACGTGGTATCTATATAGCTTCTAAAGTTAAAGGAAATCCAAAATTAGATTCGATTGGACCAGAACATTTATCATCGTTGATTACATTCGACCATGGGACAACGTGGAATAATATCAAGCCACCTGTGGCAAATCATGAAGGATTTTACGTGCATTGCCCGCAAAAAGAATGTTCCTTGCATCTGAGTCAAAGATTTAGTCAATTGTATCCTGTTACAAGATCAGTGACGATTATGAGCTCAAAGTCTGCACCTGGAATTATAATGGCCACAGGTGTAGTAGGTACAAGTTTGAAGGGACATCTTGCACTTTACGTTTCGCGAGACGCTGGTCTTACGTGGAAACAAGTATTGAAAGATTATTATTTCTTCAATATGGGAGATCATGGTGGAATATTAGTTGCAGTTAAATATTTTAAATCGCGAGGAGAAACGAGAGATCTTTCCTATTCTATCGACGAGGGAGAAACTTGGCAAACGTACGAGTTTCATGAAAAAATGCTACGTGTATACGGACTTATGACTGAGCCCGGTGAAAACACTACAGTTTTTACAATGTTTGGTTCAGACAGTAGACAACATCAATGGTTAATAATTAAAGTTGATTTGAGAAATCTATTTGAAAGAAATTGCAGAGAAGATGATTTTAAATTTTGGTCACCGACGAGTACGGATCAGCCAGTAGTATCGTGCGTCTTAGGAAAAAAAGAAACATACCAAAGAAGAGCAGCTCGTGCAAATTGTTATACAGGTGTAAATTACGATCGACCTATCAAATTGGAAATTTGTCCATGCGATGCTAATGATTATCAATGTGATTTTGGATTTATGAAAGTAGGAACTCCGTATCATTGTATACGTAATAAGACTTTTACCGAAGTCGATCCGTATGCAATTCCCGATACATGTAAGCCTGGAAAATCTTATAGACGTACGAAAGGATATATTAAAATACCAGATGACGAATGTATCGATGGTTTGGCAAGAAATTTTGAACCAGACGATATACCTTGTCCGATGAAAGAAATGCCGGAATTTTTGTTGGTCGCACAACGAGAACAAATATCGCGAATAAATTTGGTCGATAAAACATTCGAAGTATTACCCGTGTATGATTTAAAAAATGTTATTGCTATAGAATTTGATCTTAAAAATAACTGTTTATATTGGGCAGATATCGTTAATGATACTATTGGTAGACAATGTCTTAATGGTTTAAGTTCTCCAGAAATTCTAGTAGAAACTGATTTGAGTTCTATAGAAGGAATGGCATTTGATTGGGTTTCTAATGTATTGTACTTTGTGGATGGTGTTAAGATGAGGATTCAAATTATTCGAACGGATTTATCGTCGATGGGAAGAATGCGAAAGACAATTTTAGGTCCTAATAATTTACAAAAACCGAGAGGCATAGCCGTCCACCCAATGATGGGATACATGTTTTGGACCGATTGGGCTCCTGGCAATGCATCTGTTTCCAGAGCTAATCTCGATGGTACAAATGTCAAGCGTTTGTTTGTTAAACCAACTGTTGAATGGCCCAATGGAATTACAATTGATCATATAGCTGAGAGAATTTATTGGGTAGATGCTAGAGAAGATTATATTGGCTTTTCAGATTTTGATGGAAAGGGATTTAAAAAAATCATAGAGAGCGATGATCGTGTATCGCATCCATTTGCGGTTGCTGTTTTTAAAGACAACATGTATTGGGACGATTGGAAACAATCAATGATATTTGTTGCTGATAAAGATCATGGAGTTGGTATATCGAATATAATTGGTCAGTTGACTGGTTTAATGGATTTAAAAGTATTTGCTCACAGTGTACAAACTGGAACAAACAAATGTGCCAATGTTACTTGCCCGCATATTTGCCTAGGAGCTCCCGACAATAGCCATGTTTGCTTATGTCCAGATGGAATGGTAATGACAGAAGGCAAATGTATGTGTCCTAACGGTGTTAAGCCATTTGCTAATTCAACCTGCCCACGAGTGGCAACTACGTGTTCGGCTAATCAATTCCCTTGTCACAATGGAATATGCATACCTAAATTCTGGAAATGCGATGGTGATAACGATTGTGGGGATAATTCTGATGAAATTCATTGTCACAAGGCTATATGTAGTCCGCCTTATTTCCAATGTGATGAAAATAAGTGCATTCCTAAATATTGGATGTGCGATCTTGATCGAGATTGCAAGGATGGAAAAGATGAAATGAACTGCAAATACACGAATTGCACTAAATCACAATTCAAATGTGACAACGGCCGTTGCATATCTCACAGGTGGCGGTGCGATGGTGAATATGACTGTATAGATTCTTCTGATGAGAAAAATTGTACTACAGAAGTTGTACCAAGTGCTTGCAAATCTGATGAAATTTTATGCGATTCGGATCATATTTGCATACCAAAAACATGGAAATGTGACGGGGAGAAAGATTGCGAAGATGGTAAGGATGAGGAAGACTGTAGTACAATGGATTGCGAATCTTGGCAATTTACGTGCCATGAACCAAAAAATGTACATAGATGTATTTACAAATCTTGGGTATGCGATGGAGATAAAGATTGTTTCGATGGATCGGACGAATTAAATTGTAATAAGACGACTATTGCACCTCCAATACCATCTACAATATCACATACAAATAATTGTATTGATTGGATGTTTACATGTAATAATAAAAAATGTGTACCATATTGGTGGAAATGCGATAGTGTTGATGATTGTGGTGATGATTCCGATGAAATGGGTTGCGGAGACATTGATGTAACATCATCCGAAGTTCCAGAAACAACGGAACAAGTTCGTGTATGTAGAGATCATCAGTTCCAATGTTTCAATGGTGATTGCATTGAGGATGCATGGGTGTGTGATGGAACGACTGATTGTCTTGCGGGTGAAGATGAATTGCATTGCAATGTCTTGTACAACGATTGCGAAGAAGATCAATTCATGTGTCGAAGGGATGGCTCTTGCGTTCCGCTATCAAACATTTGTAACGACGTAGAAGAATGTCCTGATGGCTCTGACGAACTTGGTTGTCATCCTGTTCAGTATCCAAGTCCAGCTGCAACACCATCTTGTTACGTTGGTCTATTCCCTTGCGACGAAACACGTTGTTTCCCTTTGGCGTCTTATTGTGATGGTAATCATGATTGTCTAGATGGATTTGACGAAAGCAATTGTGATAAGAATAATTCTCGCATTTACCAAGTGCTCGTTATGGGTGTTGATGAACGTTTGATCAATTCTAGTAGTCTTTTCCTTTTCTGGTGGATACCAATACCAAATAATGTAACTTTCGAATTTTTACCGTCTATTGCAAGAGTCGAAGTAGATGCAAAATGGACTAATGCATCCAATTGGATCGAAGACACTGAATATTTGTTCACTGGTCTTCAATCTTATTCACTTTACAATCTTACAGTTTATGTGAGAATAAAAGGCCAAAAAACTGTCTTCCCACCAGCTAAGTACTTGCCAGTTATGACAGGAGAAGGTGTACCTTCAGAACCATGGAACGTAACGATTACTCAAATATCTGGCAGAACTGTTAAAGTTTCATGGCGAACGCCTTTGCGTCCAAATGGACCTATCACTGGATACGATTGTTTCATCTCACCGCCTACACCACCTTTGCGATTTTCATGGCAAAAGACTTCTGGAATTATAGATACTTCCTTTGAGATTTCTCAAAATTATTCATTCTGGGTTGTTGCAAAGAATAGAGAACACGAATCAAATGCTTCGAAAGTCGCTATATTTACATTTGATGCTGCAGCAAATATCGATGAAATAGAAGATTTAAATGTAACCAAAATAACCAATCATTCTGTAACTTTAACGTGGAAGAAAATGAAAGATGCAGATGGCTATCATATAACTCCGAGAACAAGTTCATTGCATCCTGCTTCGAAAACATTGATTACTATGGAAAATACAATTGAAGTTAAGAATTTAGCTCCTGGAGTTAATTATTCATTTGAAGTTGCTGCAACAAGAAAAAATTACGTGGGCAAAGTAAATGTTGTATTTGCTGCGACAAAAGGTGCGCCACTGCCATTGGTAACAAAGCTTGATGCACAATTGGTTAAGCCTCATGGAACGACGGTTAAACTTACATGGGATCCACCGAAAAGTCTTAGAAAAATTAAATGGCAGTATGCAATTCATTATGGTCTCAACATGCAAGAATTCTTTAGAGGTATAATATTGATAGACAATACTTTGTTTCTCATATGAATTAATCTATTCTAATATGATTCTATTCGTGTTTGTATTTTTTAGAGTATAAATATCTTACTACAAATTTGACTGCTACAATTAAAGACTTAGAAGCTTGCGAGTCATATATTTTTGGAGTTGGCGTCTATGGAGATTACGGAGCTGGTCCCTTGAGTCAACCAGTTCCTGTTACGACTCATTTTAATGAACGAGCACCGCCAAAAAGAGTTAAGGTAACATTGTCAAATAAAAGCGACAGTATCATCGTATCTTGGAGCGCAAGTTGTCCTACGATCGAAGAACCGATCGGTTATACGGTAAGTTAATGTTATATACTTACTGTATAAACTAAATAATCGTCTCTTTATAATATTTATTCTTTTTTATTTAAAGATTACATTAACAGAATTGACGCTGAATAAAACAAAAGTTGTAACGCCATTACCAACGAATGAGTCAGTTATGAAACACACGTTTAACAAGATCAAATACGGTGGAGTATACCGTGTCGTAATTGCAACAGACGTTCCAAATGCTAAACCTAGTCAGCCAGTAATTTATTATGCACCTCCAATCTTACCACCTCATCAATTAAAAGTATTGCATAAAGAAGGAAATTATTTTGTGGACTGGACGGAAAGTCATCAACCTGAACATATGACCAAAATAACCAATTATCATTACGAGATTTTAGTAGCTGAGGGAACACGAGTATTAAATGAAACTAATGCTCAGATCTTCAAAGCTGATCAACCACCTTATATATATAAAAATGCAAAACCAGATATAATATATACCTTTGCAGTTAGATTGGTTACCGAGGAAGGATATAAAAGTATATTGAGTGAAACTCGAAGTATAGAGAGTCCAACAGGTAATTTTTTAAATGATGAACATTACAATTGTTAACAATTTTTCAAAACTTTTGTTCTTTTCTTGTTTCTAATATTTTGTTGAATTAATAGCATGGCCAGTGATTATGAATACATCGAATATCATATCCCTCGCAATACCAATTTGTCTGCTCGTCATAGCTCTGGGTTCAGCATTAGCATATTTCGTTGTACGACATAGAAGATTGTCTAATAGTTTCACACAATTTGCTAACAGTCATTACAATACGAGCCGAGGCCAAGCAACATTCCCTGGTACCACAGATGGTTTAGGTGAGTAATAATATATTTTTTAATTGAATATTAGTTATTATATAATAAATCTTTCTATATTATATACGATATCCTTTTTCTTAGCAGAAGAGGAAGATAGCCCTGTGATTAGAGGCTTCTCAGACGATGAGCCATTGGTTATAGCATAAAAACGTAATATATATATATTGTCTGTATTATACATATATGACATACAATGATACATGATGATATATGCCAACGTTAGGAGAATGTGCCAAAATACTACTAATCTAATAAAAATGTTCAGCCTAGGTGAAACTACAATGAAAGTCAGGAGCTTCTATAAAAAGCTATACAAATAATTTTAAATTGATAATTTTTTTTAATTAATTGAAACGTCTACTAAATGTTAAATCAATCGATTCGAAGTACATACATTGTCTTATAGAAATAGAATATTTACGTGCATCTTAAAAAAATATCAGAAATTTAGTACAGCGTAAAACGACGTTTAGTCATTGGATCCTATATTAAAAATGTATGTATATATTATTATATGAAATATAAATATATAAATATATATATATATATATACATATACATATACATATACGTATATATATAATAAAATAAAAGAGAGATCTAACAAAGCAGAGTTAATATAAGCTATAGAAGAAGGAGAAATAACAAGTATCATCTGGAAGTAAATTGGCGGTGAAAATTATTTGTAAATAGTAAATATTTTTTATGAAATATGCAGATTTAAACATATTTTAAAACTGCCATACATAATGCTGTTATACATGCTACTATGTGTAAATATATAGACATATGTACATGTGTGGCATGTACGTATATACATGATATTTATGTATATAATTATGTATGGATTTATATTTTAACACATATTAAGTATTATTTAGTACGGTTTTATCTTTTTTTATATTTTTTATTTTTTTTGCCATGTATATTATGTATCAAAAATTATCAGATTTCTCTCTTATACAGCAACAACATATGATAATTTCGTAAAAATGTTAAATATATTTCTATAAATTATATCATAGAACTTAAACGTTGTCAACTTTAATAAATTAACGTGCCCATCAAATTTTCTTTTAATGTCAACGTAATAAAAGATTTTATACAATCAGTGTGCATTGAATGAAACAGTTTTTCAACTTTTATATATATATATATTCAATTTTGATAGGTTTGATTTCTAAAAAAACACTTATTGAATCGAATTTATTTTAATTTTATTGATAGCATATAGAGGCTTCTAAAAATGGTTGTAAATATTTATAAATGAAAGAATCACATTTAACGAATAATTTTAATCAATATTTATGACCAAATTGTTTTACTTCTCTTCTAATTAAATAAATATAAACGTAAGATTACTATATAGAAATTAGATTTTTATTTATTAAAATTACTTTATTCACCATTTTATTTTCGTTTTAAACATTAACAATTTAAAAAAAAAAAAAAAAAACCGATAATGCATTGATAAGATTTTATGAACGTTAAACGGAAAAAAAGGCAGGTAATATAAAAGATTTATCTTCAAGGTTGCTAACATTTAAAATATTATTTGTATTTTTGATATTACTTTTGTTCTTGGTAAAAATGTAGAATGTGAAAAATGAAACATATTTATATCGATTGCGTGTTTACAAAATGGTATTAATGCAGTATTGTCGAAGTTTGTACTGAAAGTTGTTCTTCGCATATAATGCGTTGTAAATACCGTCAGAAGTCACTTTTTCTTTTCAATTCATTTTTTTTTAATAGTATTTATTATCTTTCAGATTATACTGTTTGTTTTATTATTATTTCTCTTTGTGTAAGAATTGAAAGATTAAGGGTCGCTATTATCATAAACACACAGCATGTTTATAATACGAAGAACTACAATATTTAAATAAATAAGATTTAAGATATAATCTATGTAGTTATTAATGATATGTTTAAGAATCGTAATAATCTTTTTATTTATCCATATTACGACGTTATATTATTATTATTAATATTTACTATGTTTGTATTTATATATATATATATATATATATATATATATATATATATANTATATATATGAAAACAAAAACAAAATGATAGCACTATACGCAGCCTTTCGATCTATTTTTAAAGAAAAAGAATGATTAAAATTTTACATGATGATATATATATATATATATATATATATATATATATATGAAAACAAAAACAAAATGATAGCACTATACGCAGCCTTTCGATCTATTTTTAAAGAAAAAGAATGATTAAAATTTTACATGATGATTTATGATAGTATACATATATATATATATATATATATTTCCGCGTAAATAAAATAATTTTCCTGCAGTTCTTATTGTATGTTATTTGAATTTGACGATTTGATGACAAATCGAGTTGTGAAAAAGAGGTAAGATTCAGTATAAAATATATCATTAAAAAAAGGTTGAACAAAATCCTTTTGTTTTAATATTTATGCATTTCATGAGAAGACTTTTATTTAAATTTGATTATAATTCAATTGATATTAAAGTACGTATTATATCAAAAATAATAATTTGTATCATTTGCAGTAGTAGTGAAAAAGAAAAAAAAAAAATTAGAACGACACATACAATTTTTATTAACACATAAGATATTTAGATTCATATAATAAATTTAATCACATACAAATGTCATTTATTATCCATTAATATAAACAAAATTTATAAAGTGGACTAGAAATGATCTGTGAACGAAATGCGTATGTCATAATATTCTTATATCTTACTGTACAATCGTCTAACATTTTTATTGAAAAGTTTCGAATTAAATCTATATTAAACGAAAATTCTCATAATTACTAGAAGACAACTCTTACAAAAGAAAATGCAATTCCTGCAATAGCACCGTACTTGTATATTTAAGTAATTATGAACATTTGAAATCCTAATTACAAATCTGCAGATACGCGTTTGAAGTTAGTTAGTTACTTGCAGATCTTTGCAATTTATAATTATATAATAATCTTACTAATATCTCTATACGTAAATGTTATTTGTACTTGGTGTATAAAACTTGTGGATATTTAAATGCAAAGAAATGCAAATAATCTTATGAAGTGACACTATTATTGTAGATTATCGTCGCATAGAATTGTGTCGATAATTTTTCATATTTACGATCCAAATTTTCATTTGTTACATCAAATTTAATTTTCTTCTCAAGTTTAGTTGTCTTTTCAATTATTTTTGCAGATATTTTACATATTGTATATATTCAATTGATAATTTACAAGTACGGGTTTGATATATATATATATATATATCATACAAAAATGTTTTTAATGTATCTTACAATAATATTAATCATTTAATTTATTACCCAATGATAAAATATGAAAAGTTAGATCAAAATAAATAAATTCATTTATTTTCAAAATGAAAGTGTTTTCGTGAAAAATATGTGCATTCATTTCTTTACTTATATAAACCTTGGATCGTCATATATTTTGATCTTTACCACAACTTTTATTTTGGAAAGCTATTAAATTAGGCAACTTTCCGTCAATGAAACTTATAAATTAGACTTATATTAACATTATATCACTTTATAAGAAGGAAATGAGACATATCTTACAGAAATGTCTTAAAAATGAATAATGTGCTGCTCTAATCGTAATTATGTGCTTAACATCTGCGTACTATTTACAGTTAACAGCAAAACTGTTTATAGGAGCAAGGCACGACTGAGTTTAAATATATCTTTTTGTTAACGTTATAATATTGTTTCTCTTAGTTTATAAAATTGTAACGAATTCTAAGTAGCACTATTTTCAATTTCATCAATATTTAACATAACATAATCAGCTAAATTTCATAGTTTCATTCAATTTTTTCATTTTGAATATCATTACTTAGAAAAATTTGCATTAATCTTACTTTTAAAATTATTTCTTTCTTATTACATATGACAAAAGAATGAACAATCTATAGAAGCTTATTTCAATTATTGAATTATTACTGTTTTTATAAAGTTAATGTCATTTTCGTTATTATATTTTACAATTGATGTGTAACAAATTATTGATGGAACATGCATGCAAGATATAATCAAAATTGTTTTAAATGTTAAGACCCTTAAGCACTTTATAAAGTGTCTATGCAGAAAGAAAATAACTTTTTTTTTTTTATAGTAAACTGATAAATCCATAAAATTGATATACTACATATAACATGTGTTATATATTATGCATTATAAATATATATATATATGTATAAGTTATAAATATATTTATGTCTTTATAAAAAAAAAAAAAACAATGCACCAGTTGTTTTTATAATTTACTACAATTAAGAAAATGCAGATCTTGTTAATTGTTTTTTGTTCTTTTTTTTTTTTTAATTATAAAATATGAGTGTCAAATAAGTATTTAATAAATGCTCCTGAATTTGCACTTACATAAAATAAATAAATTTGTATACTAAACTAATGGTAACGACATATTAATAATTAGTTACCAAACTCTGTAGAAAGGTTTTATACAAGTTATAGATCATATCAAGAAGTTGCAATACTACCTGCTGCAAATAATAATTTGCTTCATGAAAAAATACAATAATTATTTCGTGTAAGATATAACAAGAATAATACGTGTGTGAGTGAGCATGCATATATACGATTCATCTGTATAAAATATAGATGCTTTCGATAAATAGAAATAAATTTGAAAATAATAGCAACTTACTTGAAAATATGTCAAATCCTATAATGTCTTAGAGTTAATATTTAGAAAATTGTTTTTTTTTGTTTTTGTTTGTTTTGTTTTGTTTTTTTTTTGCTAATTCTTTGTCTTAAATAGAATAATTATATGCATGCAAAATTCCAAATTCTTTTATTGTTTTTAAATGAAAAAGAATGGCATTGGCCATTAAAATGTATCTAAATCGTGATGAACGTTCGATTGGAATTGACAATCCATACACACTCGTTTTTTGTTTTATTATAATAAATGTTAATATTGTTTAAGGCAGGAATAATCCACTTTTTGTCTTACAATTATCCTAAGTTTTTAATTCTATGCTTAATCCGGCATAGGATGCTTTACCAAAAGCAAGATAATATATATTGAAGCATATTGTAATGTATATAACTAGATGTTATGAAAAATAAATGTAGGACTAGGAATCTTAATGGATCTTGTTGGATTTTTGAACTTTTTGCAGTTGATCCATTTTTATCAAGAAATGCGCCATGTTTATAAAAATTTTCCAAAAGCAATTCTTTTTCTGCCCATCTATCATACAACCATTTAGACAATAGTTCTGGTTTACGTGGGACCTACGAGTTTGTTATAATGAATAAAAGAAAACATTTGTATGGGCGCATATAATAGATATTAATTAAATGAATCATTTCTTACCATTTTACTAGGATAAACTCGATAAAACAAAACCGTTTCGCAAGGTGATCTCGAACCAGTTATAATTGTAAGTAAATCGATAGGTTTACCCTGAGGATATGCTATTGTTATATCAAGAACCCAAGTGATTTCATCTGGTGCTATTGCCGTACCTGTATACAAAATTCATAAACTTGCGAATCAAGTTTTATAACAATTACTGTAAATTCGAATAAGATACATTACTTATTTTGTTGTCTAAGTGATCGTGTTGCGCTTCGTTATTCTCCGCTGGACCGACAGTATCAAATATTATCCGCATTGCTCCTACTCTAGGTAGAGACACATTCTCTAGGATAGGTAAATTATTTTTCTTAGCATATTTTTGTGATGTTTCACGACGCTTACACAAGAAACCACCTTCAGGAAATAGAACCAACCACTTTCGGTCGAGCGCTATATATGATTCTATAAGATGTTTTTCCAGTTGTCTCAAGCTTTCATCTCTTCGTTTACGACCCTAATGGTATTGATAACATCATTCATAACATCTATTATCCCTAATGTATTCAAATAAAATACTAGTCAAGACTTGAACTTACAGAAATGATGAAAAAGTCGTGATGTAAGATAGAAATAACGCCAAAGTTAGTGAACTTAAATACTCTATCCATAATCCACATCAAATTGGGTAATAGATTTGGTTTTGGGTTAAATGTTGTCATTAACATAGGAACATCCCCGGTACTCTGATGATTTACTATAACAAGTGTCCTTTCGCTAATAATCTTCTCTATATCATCGCCTTGTTCTATTACTATAAAATAAATGTTAATATGAAACAATATCACGAGCAGATCGTTCAATTTATAATTGTAATATTTGATATTACAATTGTATAACTTACTGTCATAACCGGCGGACCACGTCCACATAGAAACCATGGCTAATAGCCAATGAAAAAAAAGACCCTCTATACGCCAATATATTTGTGGTTGATATACTTTCACAGGATACAATAGAGTCATCCATACTATATACGTAGGTATGCAATAAATATTATTTAATATTACAAAGCTAGTTCGAGCAATAGCCTTTACAAATGTCACTACCTTGCTAATTATCCTGAAACGAAAGTGATTATTACGCTGACTATATTTATACAGACAGTTTAAGAATATTAAAACAATTCAATTAAAGTAATTAAATATAATAATAATATAGACTATTTTTTCCACTGAATTTTTATTTAAACGTAAAATTGTTCATAGTTAAATAACATGCGTCCTCACTATCTTATCTTAATTAATATACTTGAATTACTTATTATTTATGCGATAAAAATATATTGTTTAAAAGAGAAAAAAAGACTTAGCATAATTTGACAATGGATTAGTACTTCTAGGTATTTTATTATATGTAATTACTCATTTTTTAAATGATAAGTTTAATGATAAGAGCATTTAAAAAGCGAATGGAAAAAAACAAAAACAAAGTACGTGAAATAATTGTAGAAACTCAAAGTTGTTTTATCATTGTGTGTGCTAATTTGAAGGTTAAGAAAACGTTTGACGAAAGAAATTATAACAATTATATAGATATAAAAAAGAAACAATCAATAAATGTTTTATTTGCTGATATTTAATTTAATATAAATAAGAAAAGAAAGCTGTCACAAAAGATATATATTTAATTTACCTTACAATGGCAGATACGCCGGAGGATGAAGAGTCAGTCATTTTTTTTTTATGACGCCACTCGCTACACGAGATTGAATATATTTCATTTACTGTTTAATCATCACCATAGCATTTCTTCAGAAAGAAATTATATAATATAGAATCATTATCTCAAGTGACACATTACTATGCACGAAAATGGGCCAACTGTTTATTACAAAATCTAAATAACAGATAATTTTTAAAAATTTGGTCAGTATTCGTTAACGTTTTAAAAAACTATACGGTTAAATGTAAAGATGTACTTTACCAGTTTGACTTAGATCATAAGTTTTTTAATTGAGGAAGAAACGAAAAAACTAAGAATTTCTCGGTTTTTGTGTCAGCTGACAAATACGCGGCGCTTTTGCAAAAAATACACCATGTGTCACTACTTTTGCTACTTTAAATATATATTCCATTATCGGATAAAACATAAAATAATTGTCATCAGTTTTTATTGACTGAACATTAACTTTAATTATAGGACTTGTTTTTTGCATATTGCAGAGATAAAATATGATTCTAAGTCATATAAAAAGTTATTACAATGTTTTAATACTACGTTATTTTTTCAGTTTCCATCGGTGATAACATTTTCTAATAGTTTTAAGCGTTTTAAAGTTTTCTTATTTACTGATTGGTTCTTTCAATTTCTACCGAGCGATATCATTTTCGTATTCCACCAATAAGATTGAATAAGCTCTACATTTATATTATTCATTTTAACCAATCGGAATAGTGGCAGATCAGTATAGCCAATAGGAAATATAGAAGGAACCTTACTGATGGACCAATCATGGATTAGAACAAATAATCAAATAATTTTGTGACGTAATTTAAACTTGTAATAACTCTTTTAATACACGGCGTTAGTCTATATTATTATCATTTTTAGATGTGTGATTTTGTCATATTTACATTTGTAATTATCTTTTTAGGGTCAATTGCTGAAATATTCTATAATTCTAAGGTTGTATTATTTTGCCATCCTTGAGATCATATAAAGTATACATAAGCTATGATTTCAAGCATTTTCTCTATGTCTGCCTAAGGACAGCGATCTTCAGAAATTTTCAAACTTTTACTTTGGTACACATTTACAAAAGTTAAGATTTTACTTGTTGTTAATATTTTAATTGTAACTAAGAGTTACTTAAGATACTCTAATTATTCCTATTATAATTTATTTTACTGTTTACTTCGTTTTTCTTTATGTTCGTGTCCATAACCATGATCGTAGTGATGAGGGTGGTTATATCCATACGACCCGTGTCCATAACCATGAGCATAACCATGGCCACCATGTCCGTGGCCACCATAGCCATGACCACCAAAGCCGTAGCCACCTCCATGGCCATACCCGTGACCACCGTAGCCATAACCACCGTAGCCGTGACCTCCGTAGCCGTGACCTCCGTAGCCGTGACCTCCGTAGCCATGTCCTAGACCGAAGTAATGACCAAATCCATGACCATAACCATGACCATAACCATGACCATAACCATGACCGGCAAAGCCATGACCATGTAATCCTGGATAGAATGGACCGGCTGGAAAACCTCTACCGTACAATGGACCAGGTAATACCGCAGGATATGGTGGAGGTACCGGAACCGGAACTGGTACTGGTATCGGTATTCCTTGTTTCACCGGTACCGGATAAGGATGATGAACTGGTACTGCTACAGGATGTTTCACCGGTATTGGCACAGGGTGTTCCACGGGAACTGGAATTGCCTAAGAAATGAATTTTATGATTTCTATATTTCTACATTTATTTATGATATTTATTAATGATATTTATTTATGATCGTGTAAAGCTTAAAACTTTTCAACCCTCCTCGTGTTAATCCTGTCAATTTTGCTCTCGCCTTGTTAGTTATAACTTTTAATCATTACCTGTGGAACTGGAACAGGTACAGGTACTGGCTTGTGAATAATTTTCTCGACCGGTACTGGAATCACTTTTTCTATCGGTATATGGTACGGCTTCTCTATATATACTGGTTCAGGAACCGGAACTGGTTTTTCCAAAACCACATGTTTCGTTATATATACAGGAAGTGTCTTCACTAATGGTCCATGGCCGGCACCAGGTGGTAAAGCGAAACCGCCTTTTCCGTAACTTCCAAATCCTCCATTCCATCTTTCAGAAAATATTCATTACGTGTTAAATAATAATATTAAATAATAAAATATATTTAAATAGATTAACGTGATTACCCTCCATGGTGTAAATTGATATGTTCAAATTTAATATTTTTCCATGGATTATGATGATCTGCCCATGGTTGTCCATATCCATAAGAATGGGGATTTGGTATACCAATCCATCCGTCGCTACCACCCAAGATACCTCGTTTCCTTTGCTTCGTTTCTTCCGGAGATTCTTCCGTAAAAACGGAACCGCACAGAATTGTCAGGACTAACTATAAGGTTAACAATTGATATTATTAATAATTCAACATTAATCAATAATCTAATCATCCTCTTCTCTTATATTTTTGGTTTAAGGGTTGCCTTACCAAAACCTTCAACATTGTTCATTCGTCGAGGTGCAACTGCTCAGAAGGTCTAGGTGTCGGTAGGCTTTTATATTTTCAGATCAGCGAATTAATAGTTCGATTAATCCGGATCAGAGTCCAGATCGAGTTCCCGTCTTTGATCAGACCGGGAACTCGATGCTGTTGGTTGACAATTCTTGCATTTCCGGAGAGGAAAGTGGTCGGATCCATACTGATTCCTGCTAAAGGATATTTCGAGAACAACTTACAGTCGTATAATGATGCTATGACTATGGTTTATACACAAAATAATAGAAAAAAAAACATTGTATATTATATTTTTAGTTAAATTTATAAAAGATCTTTAAAAGCACGCGCTAATTTAATGTCATTTTAATGCAAGATACAAGATAATGCACGATTCATATGTTTCAATTAAATATAAAATATTTCTAATTGATAATTTAATATAATAATATGTCAATGCGCAACAATTATTTTACTTATTTATATTTATAACAAATATTGTTTACTTTTTAATTGATTAACACAACTACTTTGTTTTGAATAATTCTTGGTTTTGTTTTTTCCCATTAACAAGAAGAAGTAGTTGTTAGAGTGCTTCCGTATCGACCATGTCCATGGAAGCGGACTTTCCTAACTTTCATTTTCTAACGTTCAAACTACTTCTAATGCCAGTCGTTACTGCTCATTCATTATTCATTACTGAATAATCGTATGGCCACTTGAACATATAAGACACCTTTGTTAAAACACTGATTGTTAGATCTTAATTAAATATGTTGTATCAAAGACAATAAACTCGAATATAAATTATTTTGTTTTCCTTGTTATAACAACAACAACAACAACAGGAAATGTTCATCGAGTTTTCTACATTAATTTACATTTTTCTAAGGTTATCTCGTAATGTAGATCATAAAATCGTTTGGCTCATAATTGATTGCAAATATTTCACGTTGTTCCATCACTTTCTCTGATGACGAAGTACGGAACAACGAATTGAATCATCTTGTATGTATGTCATTATCTTCCGATCTCTAACACCTAATGCAACCCAGTGCACGACAATATTGGATTACGTGTCTAATATTTCTTTCTCTTTCAGTACCGCTACCATTCACGTATGAAAGAAAAGCGGAGTAGACCGTTATTTGGCTGTCACCCAGGATAGGTAGCAGCGAAAGTTTATCGAATCTATGATCGATATGACAATGAGGTCCACGAAAACGACATGTATTCTTCTTCCTGTAGCGATGTTCTATAAATACTTATGGGGGTCACAATATCGAATCAAACACAGTTTTTCTTCGGCGTTGGTGACGGTAACTAGGTATTACCAATTACTGCCGGAAATCATGAAGTTCATATATTATACCTTGGTACGAAATAGTGTATCATTTTTGTACAGATCAAAAATATGTATAAATTTTTCTATTACAAATATTTATATTCTATCAACAGGAAATATCAGTGCTCTTAACTGTGGGAATGGCTATCACCGTTGAGAAGCGAGATAATAACAGTCCAGAGGTGTCGAAGAGACATAATAAAAGGGGACTGGTTGGTCTAGGATATGGCTTCCAACAAGATCATCCGGAACAAGTAGGACAAATTTATGGTCATCCAGAACCGGCGCCCATTTATGAAGAACCACATCCAGATAATTTACATCACGTACCTGGACATTTTGAACCAGCACCGGCATTGCACTCAGCACCATTTTTGGCACATCCCGTTGGTCAGTATAAATTCGATATTGATTCATTTCGTTAATTAAATTGATCATTTGATTATATTTTTTCGCCGTAGGAGCAGCTCCTCTACCAGTTCCAGTTCCAGCTCCTGTTCCAGCTTTGCCAGCTCCTGTTCCTGTTCCGGTTCCTGTAACGAAGACGGTAGCAGTGCCAGTGCCAGTTCCGGTGGATCGTGCTGTTGCAGTACCAGTTGCTGTTCCAGTCCCGAAACCATATCCTGTCCATGTTGAAAAAATCGTCCATGTAGATCGTCCAATACCGGTCCCAGTCGAAAAGACAATTCACGTTCCAGTCGACAGACCAGTCGCAGTTCCGGTTCCAGTTCCAAAACCTTATCCAGTTGCTTATGAAAAGTTGGTTCATGTAGATCGACCTTATCCAGTTCACGTGGCGGTACCTTATCAAGTTCCCAAACCGTATCCCGTACCTGTTGCAGTGCATGCACGTTACAAATGGCACGGCTGGTAATTTTTCAGAAACGATGTTCCAATATTGTGGTTTCAACTTTTTTTTCTACAACAAATAAGATTCGATGTATATTTGAATTTTTAAAATTATTGTGTGTTTGTTAGGAAAATTTTATTTATGCATATAATAAATGGGCTCATATGATTTTCTGTTATACGTTGAAAATTGCGTTACTATAAATCAATTCTGTTTTTTCTTTTATTTTCATTTGATTTACATAAAGACACGCATCCGTATCCTTTATGCGTAAGAAAAGTTACATTTTTAACTTTAGAACTTAGGTTCTTTTTATTTGTATTTGTAAAGACACAAAAGTAGGCGTCGAAAAGAAACATACTTCGTTTTAAAGTGTCCTGTAAAGTTCCAAGGTGCATTTTATATAAGGAAGATCTTCTATCGAACGATTTACGTAGAACATAAATGGGCCAATGAGGTGGCATAGCGTGTCCATCAAAACCTCTATGCCCCTCTTTCTTACACCTCGAACAAAGCTCGGAAAGAGTTACTTCGTGGGAAATATCACACCTAACTGAGCTTTTATGATAGACATGAATCGTATCGAAGGAAATAAGTCGAAAGGTTGGCCTTTTTACATAGCCATTCTCATGCATTCTTGACGAACCATCGTGGTACTTTTACCCTCACAGCTGCAACCATTTAAAGAACAGGACGAATCTGTGATCTAATCGATGATCAACAATATCATAGGTCAATTGGAATTATTCATTTTTTTATAAGAGATCATATGATTGTCGAGTTGTATGAGTCCTGTATTAAGAATAATGTTCAATCTAAATAACCGAATTTTGTACTTACTCAATAATATCTTTCCTGCTGAGTTTTTAATTTGTAGAAGTTTATATATTGTATATATAGTAAAACACTAATAATATTATAATAATTTGCTCCTCGAATATGTACTATAGTGGTAGATACCTCTAGGTGGCTCATATTTAATTAATACTTCAGCACCACGCGCTCGATAGGCGTTAAACTTGACACCAAAGACCGACATGGTGCCCGATACAACTCACCCAGAGTGACTTAAAGAAGACAGACACATATACCATTTATTAACAAATTTGATATATGATCAAATTCTTTGTTTAAATTAAAATCATTCTTATTTTTAATATTTTTACTAATGATCATGACAACAACAAAAATACTACATAAAATGAGAGATATTAAATTGAACGAAATTTTGTTTTCTTCAATTGGAGATTTCTTATTTTATTGACTTTGTAACAATTATACTATTAAAATATTATTCTTTCATTGCAAATCATTCGTCCTTGCTATTTCTTATTTTTCATAAATAGCATTGCGCAGTTGCGACGTCACAAACGAAAGACTTTGTTGGTGAGGTGATGGCGAAGAGGAAGAAGAGGAAAGAAGTACGCGCCGACGCCGATTCCGTCTAAACAACATCGGACTTTTTTTTTACAGCAGCAGCAGTTTCTTATAAGAAGTTCTAGAGAATCAAACGATCAGGACAAATAGCAAGATCGTCTAACAAAGTAAAAATGATCGTTGAATTGATTATTACATTTGTTTTGTATCATAATTTACTTTTAGTCACATCTTTTATTTTAAACTTAAGATTATTTTTCCTTTATTTGCTTGTTCATTCTTTTTTTTACAGATCCAAAATGGAGCTTGTAAAGAAACTTGGCATCGGCGGTGGTGTACTTTTTTTTTTAGGCATTACCTTCGGTTGGATGGGTTTTCCTGCTCTTCTCAAATCGCAAATTAAAAAGGTAAATTTTATTAGATTAATCATTTGAATAAAAATATAAATAAATAAATAAATGCATAGGTTTTGGAATGATTATATGCATCGTAACAGATTTTAATTCTTTCGATGTAATAAGAAGATAGAACCTTTGACCTCTCATTATGTATATAATTACACAATGACTGCTAAATTCTTCGAAAATATAGACATATAACACAGGTTAAATCCTTGATCTCTATTGTCATCTCTGTTATTTTTCTATTACATACCTGTTGTATCATATCCGTAAATGCGAGTCTCTGATTAGAGAGAGAATCATCAACTAGAAGCGTATTATTATTATAATAATATATACTTTGATCAAAATTGTCACACTGCAACATGACAAATGTTGAATACTTAATATATTATATTACAAAATTGATATTTTTAGGCAATAGCTCTAAAAAAGAATTCCGAAATGAGAGAAATGTGGTCGCAGTTTCCATTACCACTCGATTTCAAAATTTATCTTTTTAATGTAACGAATCCAAAGGAGATTGCACAAGGAGAGAAGCCTATTGTTAAAGAAGTGGGACCATTTTTTTACGAGTAAGTTGAACAAAACCAACATTGCAAGGGAAACAAATTTAACAATATATTTTAAGAAGAATTTTTAACAATACATTTCAGCGAGTACAAAGAAAAAGTTGATCTTGTGGATAGAGAAGAGGATGACTCGCTCGAGTATAGTCTTAAAGCTACTTGGTTCTTCAATCCTTCGAGGAGTAATGGTTTAACGGGCGAAGAGGAACTCGTGCTTCCGCATCTTTTAATTTTGGCAATGGTGGTAACCACCATGAGAGAAAAACCTGCTGCTATTGGAATTCTCAGTGAGTTATCAAAATAATAAATAAAGTGTTTCTAAATCCATTCGTACCCATAGTCCAAGATACCATTGATCGATCACTCTTTTATTTCGAACAAGTCTTAAGGTCATCGACGACTATAACGCTATGTCACTAGTCACTATCGGGGGTGTGAAACTTAAAGAGGAAGAAATTATTTATTCTACTCGATAGCGTGAAAGAAAAGTGCCGTTTTCCTAGCCGGTGTGATTCATTTTTATCAACTATACCACACAGACAGAATAATGAATGTATATTTTATTTAGATAAAGCGGTTGATAGCATCTTTAAAAAACCCGATTCGGTCTTTGTAAAAGTGAAAGCTAGAGAAATACTTTTCGATGGTTTACCCGTGGACTGTTCAGTGAAAGATTTCGCGGGCTCGGCTGTCTGTAGTATTTTGAAATCGGAAGGCAAAGACTTAATGAACGATGGAAATGATCATTATAGATTTGCTATATTTGGTGCAGTACGTATACACTTTTCTTCTCCATTTTCTTTTTTCTTGTCGCATTTACTTTAACAATTGTCTTAATTTTTTATTATTTTATATTTAAGAAAAATGGAACGGTCATGCCTGAAAGATTGCGCGTATTACGTGGTATTAAAAATTATAAAGATGTTGGCCGCGTATTAGAATTTGATAACAAACCAGCATTGACCATCTGGACCGAAGATCACTGTAATGAGTTCAATGGTACCGATTCGACCATTTTTCCACCTCTTATGACAAAGGAAGACGACATCGTTTCCTTCTCCCCAGATATTTGTCGTAGTTTGGGTGCTCGTTTCTCGCACGAGACTAAAGTTAAAGGTAATACTTATTTCCAATCTTTTATATAATAATAAATAAGATTGTGTTTTTTTTTTTTTTTGATAAAACTTATAATACTTCAGGTGTCAATACTTTTCATTACACTGCGGATCTTGGAGACATGAGCACGAATCCTCGCGAAAAATGCTTTTGTCCTGCACCAGATAATTGTCTATCGAAGAACTTATTCGATTTAACAAAGTGCGTGGGTGCACCATTAATTGCATCTTTACCGCACTTTTACTTAGCCGATGAAAAATATATTCGGGAAGTGGACGGATTACATCCAAATCAGGTAAAAGAAATAAAGAACAATATAAAAATAGGAAGCTTTAGAAAAAGAATATGTGTGCAGATCATTATTTATTTAATAATTATAAAAATACAGCGCCTGCAGAAATGCAACCCACCAGACACACTTTGAAGATGTTGCTTGCGAGCGTCATCTACTGGGACGGAATTTTTTTCTGCCCGAAAGATAGGCAACCCGTAATACATACGTGTATAAACAGTTTGAACTGAAAAAAATTTCCGTCCCAACAGATGTCGCTCGCAAGCAACAATTTGAAAGTGTGTATGGAGGGTTGCATTCCTACAGGCGCTGTATTTTTATAAATAATTATAAAAATTTAAATTCAATTTGTTTTACTTCTATATATTCTTCTTCATATGCATTTATATATAGGAGCTACACGACATTAGTATGGATTTTGAACCAATGACGGCTACACCCATAAGTGCTCATAAGAGATTACAATTTAACATACAATTGAAACCTGTTGAAAAATTCAAACTAATGAAAAACTTTCCTGAAGTTTTGTTTCCATTATTTTGGGTTGAAGAAGGTATCCTCCTCGATGATCAATTTGTGAAAAAAGTTAAAGTCGTTTTTACAGCAATCTCTGTTGTGGGGTAAGCATTTATGTGTTTCAATCATTAGCGATACAACATGGTACTTGAAATTCATCACACAAATGAATTTTAGATTTTTGAAATGGATGATGGTTCTTGGAGGAATTGGTTTGGGTGGAACAGCGGCTGGTATGCATTTCAAACGTAAGAACTCTGAAAACAAACTGGATATAACTAAAGTAACGCCTCAAAGTGATAGCAGAAAAGATAGTAGTAATAACGAGAAGAAATGGCAGACAATGAATATCAGCACCATACAAGCGGCAACTGTTCCAGCGAGTTTGGATCGATATTAATATTTATTTTTCTTATTTTAATTCATTTCTTCGTAATTTAAACAAATTAACAGACAAATTTGATAATGCGTTGTCAAGAATTCCTACAAATCTTGAATAATGTTTCAGTCTGTATGTAAGATAAAAGGAAGAGTTCGCGAGTGAATTCTACGGTATTAGGTAAATTAATTTAGTTCGTATTATAATTAGAACGTACTTATAGTTATCAGTATATATTTTCCAACGCGTGAGATTGAACCACGAATCTTTGCCTTGGAAAACATATTTATGTATTAAATTGTACATATTTTCTTCTTATATATTTAACAATTGAAAATTCTATTAAAATACACACATTTTCTCTTTTAATATACAAGTAAAAAAAAAAGTAACTACAACACTGTCTTTTATTTTTAATATTGCACTCTGTAACATTTTAAATTGAATGATTTAAGGTACACCTGTGATAAGGCCATAGCACCCTTCCGTCCTTCAAAATATTCTTAGACACGACTTATGCTGCACCATTATCATATACACGCGCACGCATATTATTTTTCAAGTAAGTTTTGTTTTATTTTATATTCATAACATTCACGTAGATGCTTTTCTAGCAATTCTATGAGAAATTTTCATCTTCGCGGAAGATACAGACTCGTTCCTACAGAGTAACATATTTTTATATGCACTTCTGTATTCGGAACTCATAACAACGTAAACAACGGGATTGATGCATGTTGTTAAATAAATTAAAATATATCCAGCTATGTTGAGACCCATCCAATTTTCAGCCTCTTTAAAAAGTTTCGTGATGGTGATTGGTAAATAACAGATTAAAAAGGATGCAAATATAACGAGTATCATCTTCAAGAGTTTTTTATCTTTCCTCGACATCCTTGGTCCATTATCCATACTACGAAATCTACCAAGACTCTTGAATTTGGATTCTCGTCGATATATTTGATTGTTAGCTTTAGTTTTGGGACGACGATCAGGAGTAATCGATCTTGAACTAGCAAACGTTTCCGAACGTTCCAATCGCGTCCCGGATTCAGTAATTCTTTCGATCCAAAGTGTTGGCTCGACTACAAACGAAGCACGGCTTGCCATTCTTTCCAATCTTTTTTTGCTATTAAAACTCGCTTTTCCAGTTAAATCTTTGGTCTTGTTTGGATGAATACTCAAAAATGTATTGGTATCGCCAATATCGGCGTTACGATCATCCGCAAACGGTATATCCTCGATCACTTTATATGCTATTTTATCGTTGTCTTGTGGAGAAGGATCGAGACCAATAGAACTTTCCTCTTGCAAATCATTTTCTTCGTCTCTCGATGAGTCCTGTTCGGACGATGGTGGATTTCCCAAGGACGACTCTTCGTAAGTCTTGACTCGAAAAATTTGCGAAATTTGTTCTTCCTTCGTTGGACGATTAGAAAAGGAAACGCATAGTCCACTGGCAACGCAACTCGAACCAACTATGGACGATTCTTCCTCTTGATATCTCGGTGTAACCGATCGTTGCTAAGACCATGGAAATATCCAATAATATTTCAAAGAAAAAAAAAAATAAGAAATATAGATAAATGACGTACCTCGCGATTCCTGTCTCCTTCGTCGATCGTGGGAGAAATTTGATCTCGTCTACGACTTTTCGATGCTGTCTTACGAACGATGTAAAAAATTCTAGCATAACATACAACGATTGCTATGCAGGGAATTAAAAATGCTATGACGAAGAGGAATTCCTTTGGATTTCGGCCATGTACATCCGGAAGAATTGAACAGGAACCTATTGCAGTGTCTAAACCAAAACGACCCCAATGACCGAACCACGTGACGATTAAAAAACTAAAACCAAGGATCCACGTTGCCAAAATCATTGGTATCAAATATTTCGTTTTGTAAAGTCTACAGAAAGAAAGGCAAATATGTGATTAGTTTTTTAATTGATGCATCACATTTTCAATGATTCAATTAGAATGAAAACCTAATGTACTTACTTTGGATAGAGTCTGGGATGTCCAATCATAACGTAACGATTAATTGTAATTGTCAAAACGGTAAAAAGACTGACAGCGACAAGACCGTATCTTAGTAATGGAAATAGACGACACAAGAGTGTTCCATGTAACCAATATCTATGCCAAAAAGTTGAAGTGGCGAGTGGTAAATTAAAACAGCAAAACATTAGATCCGAAAATGATAAATTCATGATGAATATCGTAGTGGCGTTCTTCAACTGTAAGAAAATATAATCAAATAATGGTTTATCTAATAAATATTAAGTGTTAACTAAGAATGCAATATATATTTATGAGAGATACACAGTCGGTAGACATTATACACGCATAAGATGGGTTGCATATCATAAGGAACTTTATTGCACTGACGTACTCCTTCTGAAATATCACACACAGTGCATAAAAAGGAAATAGAAAATATTATAGATAAATAATGAAATGATCATTAGATCTATGTAAAGTTGATCTTCTAATAAAATCAGCACATGTTCGTTGAATTTTTGTCGAATTTTTAATACAAATGTAGCAAAAAAGGGGTGAGGATTGACGCAAAGCACGAACGCATTTACTAGTTTAATTCGAGATCATTGATTATATCGACTGTCAGATTGAATGTACGTATTTGCGCGTACGTGAAAACCTGTGGAAACATAGGACACGCGTGAACGTAAACGTACACGATCGTTTCCAAACATAACTTCGTTCCGGGTTTGCGTCTGACGTACTTCGAAAGCCACATTTTATGTTGGAATGGTGCATGTGCCGACGACCTTTCGATCATTGGCTCCTTTTACTCTTTGCCATCTGCCACTTATGACGGATAGAGAGAGAGAGAAACAGTTAGATGTAGAGAAGAAGGAAGAATAACAGGAGGAAAACTAAGTTAATCAATCGTCCATGCAAGTAGCAACTCTGCTGCTGCTACTCGTTCGTTTTGATCAATTTTAAAATCATCGTTACTTTTTCAGCAACTACTACTAGCGACTAATTTTGAAGAATAACTTTGAACAGTGTAACCATTTATTATTCTCGAGAGAGAACAATTTGTAAGATGAGAGATTCGAGGTAAGCCTCTGACGTTTGTAGGTGCATCAGTATGCTCTGGAAACTTAAGTACCGAGACAAGCAGTATGCGTGACAAAACCATAGTGGTTTCGTGTCGTTGCGTTAGTTAGAAAAATTCGGTGTCTGCTCGACTCTTACAAAAGAGAATAATTAACCGACCTTCTTGGTACGAAAGAGAGCAGCCACGGTGATAAGATTCCCTGGAATGCCAATGAGCATAAAGAGAATACAACAGCCAGCGGCAAAGTACAAAAGCCATGATGGATAACCGATAAAGAGAACCACTGATCCTGGATCCTGTAGGACCTGTTCGATCGTTACATTGCTCCTCTTCAAATCGCTATTGTTGCTTATCATCCAATATTCCAGCATCTGTAAAATCGAGTATAGAGATATTAGATTCAAATATTATTTCTTTCAGATTCGTTTAATCGATCTTCTAATTTTTTAACTTACACTTTTTTCTATACCTAGGCACATTATAATGGTGGTAATGCGTAGCTTACAAAAGCTCCGATGAGAACATATCGTAATTAGAATTTGTTTGTATCGTTAGCTCTTGTAAAAGATCAAATATACACTTTCATATGGGTTGCTCGTAGATCTGTTTGCTCCCCTCGTTAAATCTCGCTCTCTCTTTCGTTCATCTTTCACAGGAGCTGGAATCGTTCTCTTTTTTTCTCTCAACGGGGCATCAGAAACGAAGAGAGAGAGATCTATTTTCGCCATCCAAGACTCGGATAAACTCTTTTACGAGAACGAGAATACACGTTTCAAACATTCCTATCGTCTATCAAATAAAATCTTACTCGTAGAAGTAATTGTTTCGATAATAGGACAATGTTTAAGTAATATTCAACATTTTTATTAATATTTTCTTCTGTTCTTTTTTGTTTTTTTATTCGAATAATGTTAAATGTTTCTGAAAAAAGCGATGACTCGGAAAAATGTATAGCATATGGACAAAAGAAATAATTAATCAGTTGCATACTCGCACAGACTGGAATTTACTAACATTGCTCCAAGATCATAAAATGATAACCACCAAGGTAGTTAAACCTATGTATCAACAAGACTCTTATCTTTACGCTAGTGATCTTTTTTTCTTTCGTTGCTTTTGATTTATAGTCTATAAACTAACCGAAAGCGTACTCTCAACATATTTTTCCATAAATTTTCAATTTAATATCTTTTAAATAGCAATGATAATTACAATTACGATATCTTACCTTGATACAATTAAAATTCACTTTTTTATAGCGATAGGATATTGTATAATGGCAAGAACATTTGTCGGTATTGCTCGTAGATGCTTTCGGATCCTTATTAATATGAACGATACCTTCAATTTTCTCTTTTTCTTTTCACTTTTCATATTGACATTGATATCGGTAACGTCAAACGCTTTACACGTGTCTCTTAATTGAATTATTGCAGGAGGAACGATCAAATTATAAATTTATTCTTTTTGTCAACCAAGAGATGCGAATTTCTAAGAAAGTTACAATTTCATCGAGATCATTCCGATAATGATTCCATGAGTCGACTGAGAGTGTAAGTCGGGCCGGATCCGTCAGATTTTAGAATGAAAAACGGATGCTGCGCGTGCGCCAAGATTTTTAATTCCCTAGGAAAAGACGACGACGACGTGACTTTCTTCTTGAATTTCAAATTCTTTATTATTTTTTTTTTTTTTTTTTTTTTTTTTTTAAATAGGAAAGATGGCAGCAGATTATTGCGCTTTTTTCTCATATATTCGGAAGGCAGACAAGGCGTTGGAAATTTAATAGAGAACATTAACTATGCTCCGGTGTACATTTGTATTGTAAGAAAAGCTTCCTTCTCGGAGTCACGTTTTGAAGTGANGAATGAAAAACGGATGCTGCGCGTGCGCCAAGATTTTTAATTCCCTAGGAAAAGACGACGACGACGTGACTTTCTTCTTGAATTTCAAATTCTTTTTTTTTTTTTTTTTTTTAAATCAAATCAGCAATGAAGATTGAAATCAGTGAATTTACTTTGAAATCGTTTTGATTAACGCGGAGGCGTTGGAAATTTAATAGAGAACATTAACTATGCTCCGGTGTACATTTGTATTGTAAGAAAAGCTTCCTTCTCGGAGTCACGTTTTGAAGTGATTTAAAGAACGACATTGCGCAAGAAATGATTTATGCGCGTAGGCACGTACCAAAATTAGCGGAATTAACCAAAAGATATTGAAGTACTTGGGTTTGTTTCTTTTTTTTTTCCTTCTTTCGTTCCTTCCTTCCTTCCTTTTCTCAAAATTTCTTCGTAAGGCAATATTAATTCATAAAACTACGTTGAGCAACGTTTATTGTTCAAATATACGCCCACAACCGATGGGACCCACTGGAAATACGTGGTCCCTCTACATCCTTTTTAAAAATAATTACATTTCGTTACCAGACTGTGGTACACTTTGCAAAGGGGAGAATCCAGATGTATACGAGCACGCGTAACGGAAGAGGGAAGACTGCGACCCCCTGATGAAGTCGGAAGTGACACTGTTATTCCTTTTCTCTTTTGCCATGTTTGCTTTAATCATTTTTCAATTCAATCTAAATAGAGCGTGGTTGTTTCCTATGTTTATATCAAAAATCATCAAAATCTTTACGATTTACTCATGCTTCCTTATTTTCTCCTTAAAAGGTAATCAACTATCTGAGTTTGAAGTAAACAATTGTGTAATTAATGATGGACTACTGTCATTATTACTTAATTATGGACAGAAATTGACAAATAAGATGAATGTTACTGATATCAAACAAATTCTATTCCAGGATAAGGACAATTGAAAAAATTTTCATCAGAGATATAGATCGTGAGAAAATGACAACAAATAAAGTCTTATCTTTGGTTCGATCAACGTTACTTTGACAACGTTTGAAGAACACTTCAGAATGGAAGCTTCATTTAATAATCGTTCGTGCAATAGCAAAAAGGTATACTGTACAATCGAAATATATATATAATAGCTTCAAATAAAATCTTTGAATTTTTTTTCATCTAGATAATTTCAATGAGAAAGAAGAGAGATTTTCCCAGCTATACATCTTTGGATTAAGACCCAAAATCATTGATAGATCCAACTTATGCGGGCCCTCCGAGTAGAATCGTGAACCAATAAAAGATTCATCCATTGAAAAATTTGAAATGATTCGACAAATGAATTTCAGGAGACGAATCATCGGTATTTTCTCAAGTCAATGAACTTTTAAGTCATATCTAAACAATTGACACTACATAATTGAGTCATAAAGATATATCAGCGGTTGAAGATTTCTTATCGAGGACAATAGAATTTCTGTAGAAAGGTATCAGCATTTGTAAGAAACCTCTATCGGTGTCAGGATCTAATCGAAAAGGAGAGTAGGAAGACAATATCTTGCTGGGTCAGTCGGTTTCTCGAGCGTGCAGCTGCAGTTACGACGGGACTACGAGAGTTGCCTTCGTTATCCAGTAAAGAACGTAACACCTTCCCCTTCCAGTTTTCCATGTGGGAAGACCCCCCACCCCCACTCATCCTGGGGCCCGTATGCAGTGTGGTCGCGTAAGTTCTACCGACAGTTCGTTAAAAGTGACGGTGACGCGCGCGACTTCGTTCTTTACTAACTTACAAATTCATCCTTCTAACAAACAATCCCTATTGTGTCATTTTATACAAATCCTTGTGATAACTTACAATCCTATACAACTATATATTTGTTTTATTGAAAGAAATGAAGTACCTTTCTTTATCAAAGAACATTAACACTTGTATAAAATTATTCATCCTATTAGTGTGACTCATCATCATTCGCTTGTATTTTAATCGTCGTAATACCATTAATGATTATCACGAGGAAACTTCGTCAAAATTACGAATGAGGATAAAATCTAGAATTTCTACGAACGTGGGCGAATTCAGAATCCTGTTCTGTGCGTTTCAAAAACGGAACATCAAGATGATCCACTTGCAGTGTTAGGAAAACTATTACGGGATCCTTTGTGGTAAGCGATTATTCATTTTCTAACTTTTTTGGAGTATGTAGTGTTAGGATCAATATTAAGAATGAAACAACGAAGTGAAGTAAATGATCGATGAGGACGGACGTTGTATGAGGAAGAAAAAGGGACCTCAATGCATGGAACGATGTCTGTTGTGAAAGATCATTTTTACTATAATGTTCAATTCCTTTGTCTCTTACTTAATACGATTCTAATGATTTATTAATGATCTTGGTATGGATGGCGAAAGTGTGGAGTGTATTTTGTAAAGTGGTTTGACGTTTGCGCTACACGTGGGCAATTGTTGTGGATGAATCTATCGTGTGCAAGCGCCGGTGTACTTCTTCAATGTATGAACCTTGTTAGAATGATCGGTATTTACACATAAAAGCACACACAGGTGTCACGTATGAAAATAACTTTATTTGATAGAGGCTGTTAATGTAAACGACTATCTTGTCGCGTGTACGATAGGAGGAAACAACAGAAGCAATACCGCTGCACTCACATCAGAGGTACTTTCACCGTGAGTCAAGTTGACTCATTCATTGCCATTCGCTGCGTGATTAACTCGGAAATCATTGAGTGACGTCAGGCTATGAATTCCGTAGAATGCAAACGTGACGTCCGTCCTATTCCGCCGTAGTTCCTTGCGGTTCCTACTGAGTCCTTGTGAATCGTCCTCGTTAACGAACCGGTAGACTTGTGGTTTTGTCATTATACGATTGTGAAACATACAAGTGTTTTGATCTCCTAGCTTTGACCTTGTCCAATCATGAAAATGCGTGAACATTCTCGCAATAAGAGATCTCTAGCAAAGCGTGAATTCATTTTTCTTTTCATCTTTTCAGAAGCTATTTACAATACTGAGGTCGGTATTATATAGGACACTCCAATGAATTGTTCGTTTTGTCACTTCTATTAGACGAGTACCGACTTGCCGCAGAGAGCACGCAGTGGTTAACGCAAACGTCATCGAGCAAAGAAAACTGCTCTCATGTTCATGGAACACTTACAAAGACCACAAACGACCATAATGTTGCTAATCGTCCAATGACACTGTCGTAGAAGTTTCTTATCTAAATTGCCGCGCGTGGACAGGGCGTTGACGATTAAACAATCGGATTACTTTGCCTTTCTGTACCATTCAATCTCAAGAAATGTCCACTGATACGATAAACGCGCTAAACAATTTAATAGAAAATCTTTGTCGAATTTCAATAATTCATAATAAAAATACTTTATATTACCATTGATTACGAATTGATCTACTTTACGTTACATTCCCATAGATAATTCTTAAGACCATATGCGCGCGTATCTTTTTTTCTAGTATTACAACTGCCATAAAGCTGAGTACGGTCGTCACCATGCACGGTCTCGTGTCAAAAGGATAAAAATGTTCGAGTTAAGGGACATATCCGCGCGTTCTCATGTCTCCCATGAGTTTCGACGTGTTTTTTGCTACGAGGGGACGCTTAGTACCGGGTGTCTGTTAATTTCTCTTAATTAAGCTCAATCGAGGTTAATGCACCACAGTTTGACCTCAGTTTACTAAATCCAGCATAGTCTCAAATAACTATGATGTAGCTATTCTCGATCGATGATAACTTTTATCGTATTTTCTTCACTTTACAGGTATTTCTAGTTTATCAAAAGTCTCTTACGTACACTCTTACGTACACGTTCTCGTATCATTACTTATACGTTTAAAAAGTAAATGTCTCGAAACATCTGATACATGTATCAGCATAAAACTGTAATTCGATACCACGTACGTAGAAATTTGTCAAGACTTGGTCGATCAAGTGATGACGACTCGTATTAAGTATCAATATCTGTTGAAGTAACTTGAACAGATAATATTTCATATGTTACACGGCTCATGATCTTTGTTTACCACGTATACTTATAATAAATTCACGTATATAATATTCTTGAAAGGTGTAAACGAGATATTACGTTAATTACATTAAAAAATATTTTCAATGTTGACTCAGATAGATCAAAGAAAAATAATATTTCCCAAGCTTATTATGCGTATTATCCTTTTTAAACTTACTTCCGTTCTCTTTAAACGTTTCTTTTCGGGTAACCCCATAAATAATAACGACCTCTTACTACGGCTCGAGTTCTATGATTAATGAGTTCCTGACTTTATCCTTCATCGCACATCTCCTTTAATCTTGTCTCGACTACACATATTTTTACGAGTATGAAATAAAAAAAAAAAAAAGAGAACTTCATATCTTTCTATAAGTTACATCTGCGATAGAATCAAATTTCCTCGATATTATACTCTTTTAATAATAAATTATAATGAAGATATTATTTTGTTGGAATGTCGCAGGATTAATCAAAAAACTAAGGCTTTAATTGTGATCGAATAAAAATGGAATCATTAAATCAAAATCTTCGTGGCTTTGACACAAATTCTATGTCCACGTGGCCGTCGCACGTGACGAACAATACAACCCATGGTAGTATCATAGACGGCGAGCTTTCAAGGTAAGACGATTAGAAATTCATTGAACTTTTATCATTATATTTCTTGTCAACAATTTTTAATGCAGATTTCCAAGACCATTAAGAACATTTGCCGCGATCGTAGCTATACTCATTATGATCACGGGTCTAGCTGGCAATCTTCTAACCATCGTTGCCCTTTGCAAATATCCTAAAGTTCGTAACGTTGCAGCGGCGTTCATAATAAGGTACGACGAATTAAGATTAATACGTTTATGTATGYATGTACATGAAAATATTACAACCAGAATAATTAATTGCACTTGATTTATTGTTCGTAGCCTTTGCGTGGCAGATTTCGTGTTTTGTTCGTTGGTATTACCCTTCGATTCTATCAGATTTGTCGATGCAAGCTGGGCAGACATTCGATCCTTGTGCATCCTCGTACCGTTCTTGAGGTATGGAAATGTTGGAGTCAGTCTTTTGTCCGTAGCAGCTATCACTATTAACAGGTATTTTGATTTTGTATTTCTTATCGCTAGATAAGATCTTATATATGTCATCAACTCCTAATTAGAATGGAATGAAAAATTTGTAGGGTTTTAATTATAATATAACATAACGTATCCTTCAGATATATCATGATAGCTCATCACGGAATATACAGTAAGATTTATAAAAAACATTGGATCGCTGCTATGATCATCTTCTGCTGGCTGTTCGCCTACGTGATGCAAGTACCAACGTTGTTAGGCATTTGGGGTAGGATGATATTATAATACGATTCTTAAAATTTGATTAATGTTTTATCAAGGATGTTTTACTTACAAAATTCTATCTTTTTTTTTTTTTCCAGGAAAGTTTGATTACGATATGTATCTAGAAACATGTTCGATAGTAAAAGACGATCAAGGTCATACTTCAAAGAGGTTTTTGTTCGCTACGGGTTTCGTGATACCGTGCGTAGTTATCGTCGGTTGTTACGCAAAAATATTCTGGGTCGTTCACAGGTAAGTCTCTCCTATATAAATAAATCCAAATAAAAAAGAATTATTCCGTCCAACAATAATCCTTTGATTTATTTTTTTTTCCCAGGTCCGAATCGAGGATGCGAAAACATGCAACGCCGACAATAAAATCGCCACACACACCTGGTAGAGATACCAGAGAGATCAAACAGAGACGTAGCGAATGGAGAATCACGAAAATGGTACTCGCTATCTTTCTCAGTTTTCTAGTCTGTTATCTACCAATCACTATCGTAAAGATGGTCGACGTTAATGTTAAATATCCAGGTAACAACAAAAATAATAATCTCTATATAAATTCATATTCGCAAAATGATGATTATTTTGACGATGATAAAAATAATGTAAATTAACAGGTTTCCACGTTCTTGGATATCTTCTTCTATACTTTGCTTCCTGCGTGAATCCAATAATCTACGTTATCATGAATAAACAATACAGACAAGCATACGCTGGGGTGATTGGTTGTTCGAGGATAAGGGCGAGTTTAACACCTTTCGGGAGCAGTGCGCCCGGTCAGCACCAGCAAGACTTCGGCCAAGGTAACTTCGAGCACCGTCGCGTGGTAACTCTCTCCAAGCTCTGACGAACATGAGCTAAGCGACCACTCGCTCACTTCGTAAGTCAAGGGCACAAGTTCGCTGCTTTCTAAGATTGTCTTTGCTATGTGCAGGCATGTTACACCGACCAACCTCGCGTCTCATAAGTCAATTGTATTTTTCCCCGTGATAGTTTCAACTTCTCTTTTAATAATGTATATGCATACGTCATTGAATATATGTGCCTCGATATATATATATATATTACAAAGGTATAGCGCGACAAGTAGACGCTTCGTATAATTGGAACATATAGTCAACTAGCTTCGATTACTATGTACCGCTATAACTCTATGCTATTATGTTTTTTTTTTTTATAAGATCAATACCTAATGACATACCTTTTTTCTAATTGGATAAAGTAATAAGAATTACCTCGTCATACGTATATATTTTTATATTTAAAAAATGATTATTCGCGATAAGATCGACAAACAATACATACACGTATAATTATAATAACACTGGACATACACTTATCGCATTTTTTATTTTGACTCGTTGAAAAGACGCTAATAGACTTCTTTATTTCCAAGAGAAAATATAAAAACAAAGATTTTTCCTGCATTTATTATCGTGGTTGGTCAATAGAATTGCAACTTTATTTTAACACTTTATCAATCATGCAATCATACTTTTTAACGCGTATCATTTTATACAAAGGTTCTTTGGCTTGATCCCAATTTCAATAAGAAATGCATAGAGATGCTGAAACGTTGACGATTCTTTTCAAATGCTACTTTATTTTATTCATTTCTGCCTACAATGTTTGCTTGCATCTGTTTAATCATCTATTGCAACAACTGTAAACACAAACTAAACAACATGTAAATACGAATCGTAATTATTTTCATTTATTCGTTTTTATAGATTTCTCGAAGACTATGGTATCGACCGTTTCCATTGCCATGAGTCCTGTCAAAAATAACCAGCTGGAAGAAGCTCTGTAAAACGGTCGATTAAAGAAACCAAAAGGATCTCTGAATGAGATCAAAATTCTAATCAAAAGACAAAGGAAACAGAAAGCTGCTGAAGACAAGTTTTGTACAAGTGTAGGTGTGTCGAATGCAATTCGAAAAGACAGAAACTAATGTAAATTGTTCGCCGACTGAAAAGAACGAAACGTCCCTAAGGACTACTCAATTGAAATCGATTACGCGTATTTATAGCATCGACACTATACAAACGAGTTAGTTTAGCGATACGCGATAGAAATTTCGCGATTCGCAATACCACTGAATTACCAAAGTAAAACCGTGTTAAGATTAAGAAATAAGTAAATACGCATTTACGTTTATCCGTATCGATAGATTGTGGCGATAATAATTTAATGATAATAAAAGAGCTAGTCGAAAATCATTTAGGGATAGAAATGATAAAATTCCATTTGTAAATATATTATTGTATCGTAAAAACTTGAGTAGCATTAATGTCGTATATGTTTAAAAAATATAAAAGATAATTATAAAATTAGATGATAAAAGTTTCAAGTGCGAAGAAGTATGAAGAAAAGGATCAATTTAGTAACGCAATGATTAATTCCTGCAACAGCCTGTCTTGTTTTGTTGTTTGGATTCTTTGCGAAGCCTTATGGAATCCTGTACGCCACCTCCGATTTTTACTTTCAGCACTTTTTCCACCAAGTAGCGCATAGCTTCGTCTTTAAAATAAGAAAAAAAAAAAATTATCATCATCGTGCGATATAAATAATTGTTTCGCGTATCTCGGTGATTGATACTCACCAACGTTTGTATTTTCTTTCGCCGAGGTAAGGTACCAAGCGGTGATATTGTTCTCTTTGCAAAATGTAGCAATCTGTTCGGTTGTTACGGCCGCAAATTGAATGTCGCATTTGTTTGCCAGAAGAACAACGGGTATGTTCGATCCGTCCGGAAGCGTAACTTTTTCTCGAAGATCGCAAAGCCATTTCTTCATCGATTTAAATGTTGCCATTCGTGAAATATCAAAGACCAGTGCTGCTGCGACGCTAATAAAAAATGAACGACAGGACTGTCTTATAAATTAAATACGATCATCTTCTCGGCGAATGTTTTTTACATGACATCAAAGACGTACGCATATTTGTAATAAATCCTGGTCATGAATCCGAATCTCTCGTGACCGGCGATATCCCTGAAAGTAATCATTCATTTTTATATAATATTTATAAATTTAATTATAAAATTAAGAGATTATAATAGAAACGATAAATACCATAACTGTAAACCTATTTTAAGATTTGGATCCCAATCGAGCATTTTTATCACGAAATCAGCTCCTATCGTTATCTTGTAATTGGAAGAAAACTTTCCTGGAAAAAAAACAAGAACAGTAGTTGTGCAGTAGAAGTTGATAAAGATGTCTGCTTTTGCAGATGCGACGTGCAGTTGTACGATGACGTGTATTTTTCTTTAGAATGGATAAGCCAGCTTGCGCGTATCATCAGATTATTCTAATCTTGTGCCTAAATACCTCGAAACATAATGACATTCAAAGAATTGTTTCAATTACCTTCTGTATATCTTCGTACGAGAGCCGTCTTGCCTGAAATAAAATAAATAAAGTGAAAAAAGTAATCGGATAAAACATGGAATTCGTAAACGCGAAAAATAAATATAATGTCAAATCTGGCTGATTTACTTATCTCTACCGAGTCCGAATAACACCTTATCAAATAAATTCGAACACGTAAGTAATAAACAAGATTTGTTAAGAGAAAAAGATCATAACGAAGAAAATAATCACTCACCGACGCCATAATCACCGATAACGAGAAACTTAAAGAGAAGCTCTTTACGTTCATGATTTGAGAGTACTACGTCGGAATCTCTTCTAAGTTTCCTCGTATCCATATTTTTTCCTTCGTACAAAAAAATACAAACACAATGGCGGCTTCGAAATAGTATTACAGTTGGAATAATACGTTAAGACAAATTCTTTGAATAAGTAGCGTCTGAACTAAAGTAGTAGAAGCGATAAACTGTACAGAGTGAACTTCTCGACCTCCAAGGATTAGATGAAATCCCTACTCTTGCAGTTTATTATATCGTTCTTCTTTTCGTTACACATTGTAAACAGCTGATCTCGCCCAAAGTTCGAATTTACATATCGTATCACTGATTAATGAAACCTTTTGTAACAATTAAATGAAAATAATTGAATAATCGCAGGCTTGGTGCTAAATCCGTTTAAAAAAGAATTTCACGAAATTCTGTATATCGTTACATTATGTGGGATACGATATATTTATGTAATATAGGAATAACACAATTCAGGTAATCTTAATTTATTAAATTATACTTATTGTTATTAAATGTTGATCAATCGAATAAAATATGAAGTTAATAAACTCAGTACATTTATATTTAGACAATAAAAAGTCTAAAATAAAAGCCAATCTTTCGGATTGGTAATAGTTAATGTATCTATTTCCTCTTCGGAAAATCTCCTTATTCGAAATTTCGGCAGCACGTTATTAAAGAGATGAGAATAACCATGACCTCCATAATTTAGCTAAATTAAAAATAAACGACTTAACAAAAAGAGATATTATAAAATAACAAAAATAAAATGAAATTAAATAAAAATGAAACGTACCAAACGATGTTTAGTGTGAATATCATGGCTCAAAAGTACTCTCCTTATCTTCCCTTCGTCTCGTAGAAGTTGAACGTAATTAACGCGTTGTGCATCGGATATCATGTCGACTATTGGATTTAATTGATAGAAAGAACATTCGGTACCGAATAAATCAAATTGACAATAACAATTTGTATCGTCCGAAAATTCCAACAAAGCTTCTTTATTCGTGAAAGTACCTAAAGATTTATCGTGGATATAAAGTAAAAAAAAAAAGGAACACAAGATTTGCATTGTAAAGAAAAAGTTGATCATACATACGATCGAGATGGGACATCACAGCCTTTTTCGAATCTCCGCCCGCTTCCTGGTAAATTCTCATTATTTCAATGGGTATACTTGAATCTCGTCCTGGATGAAAACTAACGGGACATCCTAACTGTGATTGAGCTAATGCAGTAGCTTTTATCGAACGTTTCTCAAAATCTATATTAATGAAATTTTATGTACCAATACTATATGTATTTGTAAATATTGTAATTGGAATTTTAACGTGCCTTCGATCGGCGAAGAAGTTCCAACTTCTCCAATAAATCCCGCTTTGGTTTCGGGAAATTTTTGACAACCTTCGGTCATTTCTGACATTATAATATCGTACAGATTTTCAACGGATGAATTCAAAGTACCCTGATCCTGTGTTTTTGCGACATAGAATCCTTAAATGTGGAAACGTTAATATAAAAGTGTTATGTCGTATGTAAAATTAAGATGATTGTAAAAGATACCTGTGCCAGCTATGATATTAACATTAGTTTTTTCCATGAGAGTTTTCATTAATCCAATACTACGTTTCAAACCATGACTACTATTCTCTACAATAGTATTACCGCCAAATTGATGAAATAATTTTAAATCTTCTAACACAGCATAAGCACTTTCGGTATCATTGAATTTGATATTATTCATGTGACTATATCTGATAAATATATAAGACAATATTTGATAATTATATATAAACATATACAATTATTATAAATATAATTATATATCGAACGACTTAACACATTAACTCACGGATACTGTCTCACCCATCCCATATTATGAAGCTTCATTGGTTTATTTAGAAAAGGTTCTAACGTAGACGGTGGTGGTGTATAAAAATCGGCAAAATCCACGGCAACATGTTCGTGTGTCAAAACTCGGCCGAGTTCGGTAACGTTAACTTTTCCAAGTACTAAACGAATTTTATTTTAACGATATTGCAAACCATCGAAAGTTAACAAATCTACTCACCGGTTTGTACGGTGTCGGCCATACTGATCTTTGTATAAAATAGGTCAGTGATATTTTATAGAAACGGAACGATATATGGAAAAATATTAAGTACGTCTGAAGCAGTCGATATTTTTCCTCTTAAATGTAAACGTACGAACAATCTCTGTCTTTTATTCCAACTGTTCTAATATACTGGTATGCTTATCAACAAGCTCTTACGTAAAGTTTACTTACTACTATTATTATTATTATTATTATTATTATTACTACTGAATCTTTAACGATACAAAAGTTGAGTTAATAGGTGAGATGAGCGATAAGCATTTAAATTTGTACTTTAAAGTAGAGAACACAAAGAAATGTATTATCCCCTTTTTTTTTTCTTTTTATTTATATTTTTATGCAATATTTTCATTATAAAGTAATAATTTGTAAGAAATCCTGAGATTTCTCTTGCATTTGTATAGCAATTTCCTAATTGACGAAGAATTTATACATAATAGAAAAAAAAACGAGAAATAAATAAATAAGAAAAATGGACAAACTTCGTCTTTCGGTGGGATTAAATAAATAGGAAAAGAAAGATACACGTGATGTGATTGTATTATATATACACGTACGCTTATATGAATCGATAATTTATCTATTTTTCGTTACGTGCATTTCACTCATGTGTGTACAATATAAAATGCTACGTCCCACGTGCACAACTATGTCACATGGTGTACACAGTACATAATAATAATCCTCCCAACGTAACGTTTCATATAATTTCAATATTATATATACGTGTGTACAGATAGAATCGCTTTTCACGCGGTCAAACTACCATATTCACGTCTTCAGCGCGAGAAACAACTCGGTGTGTTTTAAACAGGAATTTGAATAATACCAATGTATACGCAGTTTATGTAAGAATTTTTTTTTCGTTTTGTGTGTCATTAATACTTTAACGCCAAGAGAAAAACTATCTGAAATATATTTACTCCTAGGTAAAAGTTAGCATTTAAACAAGTTTCACGATTCACGTTGAAAAAATAAAAATAAAAAAACAAAGAAGAAAAAATCTATCATAATAGTACACAACGACGGTAACTTGAGTAACTTTAGAAGAGCCATTTCAAATTGGATGTCATAAAGGCAACACAACAAACACGTATCAATTATTTGCCGTCTTAAAACAAATGAATGCAATTATGATTGACAAACATTTTTTTATATGATTGTGTTGTTTGTATGCGTGCATATGCGTGTATGTGGATGTGAATGTCGTATATTTCAAAGACAACATATCGATATATGTTTTATTTATGCGAACATGATCTCGCCCTGTATGATTAAATGTCCCCCCTCCCTCTATCCTTCATAATATGTTTATATTGCAAATACGTGTATATTGAATCGCCATAAATATACACAAAACACAATTCTATAGACTTTCTGATATAATCATACGCAATCCAAATTGTTTTTGACAATATAATTTGCAAAAAAAAGATCGATTGATCGACGCAATTTACCCTCGCCACGAGATTGCACGCTCGTCCGACGGCTACTTTTTTTTATTAGCCGAATATGTTTTCACGATTCTTATATGACCGATAATCATTTTATATATATATAGATAATAATAATAATAATAATAATAATAATAATAATATAATTATAATAAAATAATAAGGTGGTATATATATATACCATAATAATAATAATAATAATAATTTACATTTACACAAGACTTTTCTTACTTCCTTACGCAATTAGTTAATTATATTACTTAACTATGTACGACATGCTTACGACTATATTCGCTTAGGTTTTATAACGCAGTACAGTCTCTACATAATAATTGATTCGCAAGGAAAGTGATCTAACATTCGAACAAATATAAAAAAGAATCGCGATATATAATAGTAAAAAATATACAGGACAAACGCGTAATATACAAGTTGATGAAAAAGATTAAGTCAATAATTAATTGTCTCATATAAATTCTTGCTTTTCTAATATTCCTTGGATCTGATATAAACGAAAGAACGTGACAGGAGTTCTAGTTCATTATTTAGGAAAAATAAAAGAAGTGAAAGAGAGGGAGAAAAAGAGAGAGAGAGAGAGAGAGAGAGAGAAAGAGAGAGAAAAAGAGAAAGAAGGAGAAAAAGTACATTACAAATTCTCGTAACACACCAGGTTGAGAAACGGATTAAAATACTACAAAAAGCTGGTAACAAAAATGGTAAAAGTCAGTTTTCGATTGTTTCAGATCCAATGTAAATCAAAATGATGTGATAATAGTTCAATAAGCATCGATTCAGAACAAGCTAAATCATCATTTGGAAAACTTTCGATTAAATCAATATGAAGGTAATATATAACAACGCGAAACCAAGTTTCGTTCTACAAATCCATTCCACATTACACGACATCTTCATAAACTATCATCACTGTCATCAGCGGGTGCTTCAGCAGGAGGAACGTTTCCATCGCCGATCGGCCCGTTTCCTTCTCTGTTAGTATCACTTTCATGTTCCATAGAACTATTATTTTGAATTTGTTGTTCCTCTGCTATGAGAATAACGGAGAAAAAAAATATATAATTAATTATGTGTTTTGTTAATAACGAAATGAAAAAAAAAAAAAGTAAACGATTAAGATCGATAACTTACCTGATTGTGTTCCTGGAGAATCTTCGTCACCTTGACCAGGACTTAATATAGCTTCTTTTATTTGACTATTTACACCTTTTGGATCTAAATCTGTAGCCCAACTAAAGTACATTAGTGCAAGATGAGTATTACCTAGTTTCTTGTGCACCTATTGATGAAAACAAAAATAAAGTTAAAAAGATATAGAATAAGAGAGATTCGATTACAACGAATAAATAATAATATATATTTTGTACCTTTCCTATCGAATAATAGACTAGAGATTCTTTGGGCACGATATTCTTTAATTCTTCGAATTCTCTCAATGCCTCCGCGTGCCGACCAATTGAAAAATTAATCGTTGCACGATGAAATTTGCAAAGAGTATTATTGGGATCATTGGTAATAGCTGTATTTAATGTTCTTAAAGCTTGATCAGTTTTTTTCAGAGCATGTTGTACAACGCCTATGTGGCACATAATTGCCGAATTCTGTGGATTTATTTGCAAAGCTCGTTTAAAATGTAATTCTGCTAAGCTATATTGTTCTTGTTTAGAAAATATTGTTCCCAAACCAAACCTTAAATATAAATTAATATTGAAAATATATATTATCTTACAAAAGTATAAAATTATAAAGTTTAACATATAGAATAATTTACCAGGCATTATAGTGTCTAGAATCAAGTCTAATTGCATTACGAAATGCCGTAATTGCCTTATCTAATTCCTCGGTCATAACATATTCATGACCAAGGAGTGTATATGCATATGGAAAATTAGGATCTACCTAAAAAATACCGTAAAAAAAAGTATTATATTTTGTAATCAATTGATTATTATAGAGTATGAATTTCCATGACAATAATTAAATTGTATACCTGTATAGCTCTTTGAAAGAATTTGATTGCAGTTTCATGCTCAGTTTGAGCAGAGAAAAGATTACCAGTAGCACACCATGCAGCTGGCGAATTACGATCTTCGGAAACAAGTTCTTGAGCCAACGTAGATAGCTGAACTTCTGCATGCATATGCCAAAGCACTGTACTATAGATTTCCATTAATTCAGTCCTCTGTGGTTCTAATTGTCTGACTTCGGCAAAATAACTGTGAGTTTAAAACAAAATTAAACTTAGAACTTTTTGAGATATGATATTTCTATTGTGTAATAATAAACAATATGGTGTCACTTATACCCAGCTGATTTTTTGTAATCCATCATCTCAAAATGAGCACGTGCTAGCATGGATAATACCCATCCAGTATTATAATGTTGCGTTGGAAGAACACTAAGGATATCAATAGCTTGTGAACAATTATACTGGCTTAAATGTTGATATGCCAAGCCAAGTTCTTTTAACAAAGACATTAAACCTTCTGTAAATAATTAAATTCACACACATATATATATATATATAAAAATCCATTTCACTTTGTTCATTCTCAAAATAAAATATTTAAAGTATTTATAATTTACCAGCACATTGTTTTTGTAATGTCACAGCACAATGAGCAATGCTACTTTGGTTATTCAATGCATTTACATTTGCCACAGCCTTTTCTGACGTAATCGTTTCATTCTTTTCTTTTTCACTCCGATTTCTCTCATTCAAATCATTAAAATTAGTTTTATTTAAATTAGTTTTGGAAAGTCTTGCTTTTGCTTTCCTAGATGGTGACTTAGGTGTTGCGAATTTATTTCTATTAGGTGACTTATTATTTTCCTATGATGTGAAGATACAAAAAATATTACTAATAATGAAATCATTGATAAAAATAAGCAATGCATATAATTCAAACGATACATACTTTAACAGAATAGCTGTGACTAAATAATCTCGATGACCGTCTAACATTTGTACCCTGAAGAGTAGGTGGTGTAGGTGCAGGAGTACTTGGTGTTACTGTGACTATATTAGCAGTATTACTTGCATTACCGGATTGAGAGAACACTGGTTTACCTTGTTGCAAAGGTGTTTCCTTCCTTGAAATAAATTGCTAAAAAATATATAAAATTCATTTGAGTGTACAATTTGAAGAAAATCTACAATTACATATCATTTCTTACCCCTACATGAGCCCTGAAACTGCTAACGCACTTTGCCAAACTTTTTTGGTCATTTGCTTCTGTAAGAGTCGTATGAGAAGGTAAAACGGTAGGTTCTGGTGTGTTACTTTCCAATGGTAAGATACCAAAACTAGGTGTAAGAGGACTCATAGAATTATTGAACATACTCCGATATCGAGGATGCTTAGCACGAGGTGATATTGAAGAAGGATGAATATAGTGTGTAGGTATATTTTGTGGGCTTTCTTCGATGGACGAGTATAACCGTACGTTAGGTGCTACGTTGGTTATGATCGTTGTGGTTGTAGTTTGCACAGGAGTACTGTAATTTATTATTACCATAATAATACAAATAAAAAAAAAAAAAAACAAAACAAAAAAACAATGAAAAATAACGTCATATATTTACCTGTTAGTGCCATTTGATGTAGGAGCGCTATTTGAATTGTTAACAGGTACAATAAAATCAGGTTCCGGAATATAACTTAAAATTGGTGTTACACCATGACACATTGCAAAATTATCTAATTTATCCAGATTGAAGATTTTTCCTGGATCTACTTTTTCTCCAACATTGCATAATTCTTCGAATGAATGCCACAAAAATGGATTCATCTTTAAAGCCAATTTGTGTGCTTCATTGCCTTTAGCGGTGCGCATCATTTTATAATAAATTTTGGCTATTATCTGAAGTGAAAAACATGCTTGTTCACCAAACTGAGCGGTAATTTCCTCTAAACTTTTTAACTGTTTATAATATCCACCAATTATTGCCGCTTCCGCTTCCGCAAATCTAAATAAATATTGAATTAATATTAAATACTTAAAAATTAGTAAAAACTTACATAATCTTACAATTGTATGTATATCTGTTAACTTACTTTTCCAAATCGTAACAACACTTAGCCAAAAGAAACCTACATTGTGCGGAGCTGGGTGCTTTTTTGGAAAGTAAAGCATGAGCTTGCCTAATCCTTCCTGAACGATAATAACAAGTTGCCAAAAGAAATAATGTTTCTTCCGTATCCACTGTAAAAAAAAAAAACATTAATTATATATCATCTGGATAAAAAGTCCATTTTGAATATTAAAACATTATCTACACATGTAGTATATACTACCTTCCGCGCATAATCTTTCTGCCAAAAATATTGCATCTGGATAAGCATAATGATTTAAGCAGTGCCATATGGCTGCCTGTAATAACAACAACAATACAAAAAAGTCAATGAGTTTGAACAAATTATAGTTATTGTTAAACAGTGATAATATACATAAACACAATGTGATAAACACTCGTCAATTAACGTGCGTAAAAAAATACATTTAATTGATCGTTTAACGATTTGCCATGGTATTTTAACGTAAGAGAAATTGTCAAGTGCGCTTAATATCATTACAATGTAATTATTTACAGTTATTCACAATTTCACAATGAACATAATTAGAAGGAGAAATATTTTTTTTCACTAAGCAACACAATATATGACGGTAAGTAAATGTTGAAGGTACTTTAGTTCATAGTTGAAAGGAAAAAAGAAGGAAAGGAAGAAAAAAAAAAGAAAAATAATGTTTACAAATTACTTCATAATTCGTAGAAATCAGCATTTTTTTGTCTATTAATGTAAATTCGCAATAGAATGGCCTTAATTTGGAGACGTCAATATCAATAATTGTGAAATGTACCCCCGTCTACAAATTATACGTCATCTATAGTTCTCCAGTGATATCTGCTGTGTTTACCTGCACTGGCTCCTGCACAATCATCGTTTACACTTCGAACTTGATCATAAAAACGTATAATTTCTTAACGGTTAGAATAAAATTTAATTAGGAAAATCCGAAGTCGAACAACCGATGCATAGAAAAATTCTTCAGGAGTCCATCTTTTGTCGGATTCCTTTTGAAGTGTGCAACTGACTTCACGGATAAGGTTGGCCAATCTACTGGACAACTTTGTTTCTAGAATTTTTTGACCACAATAATACATGTAAATAATCCTATGATTTCTTGTCCAGTATGGAAGAGAATAAGTTCCTAGGTTGTTTCAAAAAATGATTAAACCACGATCTTCTCTTTATAATATATATATGTAGGTTTAACGCTGAGGAAGAAAGAAAATTTGTTTTCAGAATGAATCAGACATTCTGTTAAGACAAGCAGTAAAAGTTGTTGTCTCGTAACATCGGTTGATTACAACTTTCATTATAATTCGAAATTAAGACAAATCTCGTTTTAATTTTTTTCTTCGTGTAAAGTTTGTTAGATTTTTAACTCAATTGAGAGTGAAAGTTTAAAAATCTAAGCAATAATGTTTTAAATCAATCGAGAAATGAACTTGTAACAATACGATGCAAATAATTGTCTTTATGTGTAGAAATCACATTGTAAATTATTGATTTCCGGTTGTCTTGTACACATTACACACTTAAATACATTTAGAATAAGGAATAATGTTTCTTATAAAGGAAAGAAAAAATCAAAATCACGTGTCTCTTTCTTCGTTAGCGCCTTATTGATCATATTGCATTATATACAAGAAGAAGAAGAAGAAGAAGATAATATCGTGAAATAAAATCTTATGCACAACGTGATCATATCGAAAATCAAATATGAACGGATTTAGCACAGGCGAAGAAGATTCTAGAGGTGCAACGGATCAAATCTGTTGTCTTGTTGACGAAGGTGAACGATGTTCTCGTCCAGCTGGCAATGCTTCTTACAGCAAAAGAATACAAAAGACTGTAACTCAACGACGCCTCAAACTTAATTTGGATCAAATGGTACTTTTTGAACAGAACTCACAAGGTTTGTCCGAGTCGCATGCACTTTCTGAATTTAATTACAGAGAGGAATGTCATGCTCGGCATAAAGATCTTTCTAAACTAACAAAATAGACTTTTAAAAATATCATTTAAATTATAATATTACGGATATATGTATTTAACAATTATGTCAACATTTCTTATTACAATTTTTTTTAAGTATTACAATTGATCTTCATGCTTTACATATCTCTCTGACAAAATCGCCCGATTTTGAACGAAACAATAATATCTAAATCAGCTTGATGTATTAAGTTTGAATTATTTTCTTAATCACATGTTTTTTTTTCTTTGCACCCTCAAAACAAAGAAAATAAATAAATGCGTTGCACTTTTTTTTCTATGTGCTTTAAAGAAGAAGAAAAGAAAAAAGAAAAAGAAAACCTCTATGAAAGAGAAAATACATGAGATTCGAACAAACCTTTATTTAGCGTTATACAATTTTTAAATTATCTGTACTAAAAAGTCATGTGAAAAAATTCAATTTTCATTTATATATATATATAGGGTAATTTAAATAGAACGTTACAAAATGTTTTTCTCTAACAGTTTGTAACACTTTTATTTAAATCACTCTGTATATTACGAATATGATTTACAATATTATAATTAAACCTTAGCATATTTTTTATTATTATTATGGTATGTATTATATATAAATACCAACTGATAAAAGTAGTAGTCAAAATAATATTTACAAAAGTTCTGTAATCGGTGGTATAATAGCGTGTTATATTTCTTATGTAGGCACGTCACATATATATTTGTGATTATCACAAACAAGTTATACAATGTGCAAGATCTAAACAACAGCAACAACGTAGACGAAAAGATTCGGAAGAAGATTCAGGTGAAACTGATAATGATCTTCCAGAAGTGGATTTATTTCAATTACAAGTTAGTACTTTAAGACGCTATAAACGGCACTACAAAATTTCTACTCGACCAGGCCTAAACAAAGCTCAATTAGCTGATGTAAGTATTTACAAAATTCTTAATTATAGTATCATAAATCATATCACGCGTATTATTAATTAATTTTATTCTTTTTTTTCCATTGTAGACAATTATGAAACATTTTAAGACTATTCCTGTAAATGAGAAAGATGCCTTAAGTATTTTCATTTTCACAGTTAAAACCAATGCTAATAAATTGGATCAAAAGAACGGTTTAAGCAACGATACAACGTAGCTAAGGAGAAATATTCACGATCAATCATTATTGTAATATTAGTCAAGAAGAAAAGCGTACATGTGTGAGTTTTCACTTGTTAATAAGTATTTTATAAGAGTTGTGTATACTATGTATAAAATTTCTTTTAACAACATTTCTTTTTCTCTTTTATTTTTTTTATATGACCTGCATATTTGATTTCTTCTCATACATATATGTGGGACGAGCGCCTCCTTGCCAAACTTATCGGGTATTCGTGAGAAGGATTGATTGGTGGGCCTGGACAGTTCAATTGATTAAAACATCAGTCGCCTGGAAAGCGAAAGATCCGTGGTTCGAGTCCCGGTCCAATCAGTCCAATTTTTTTCACGAATCCCACATATATATATACATAATTTAACATAATTATACTTTTAATGAGTATACATTTTAATTATATTATTCTCTGGATATTAAATTATTGTAAGATATATGAATTTTTTGTAAAAACCTTGTATTTTTACTATGTATATTACACTAGATCTACACTATCAATTATTTCTACAACTTCCTCTTCGCTATCGTCACCTGATTCTAAAATATATAACAATAAATATTATTTTTATTTTATCAAATGCACAATTTAATTGAACTAAAAAAAAAAAAAAGAAACATTCTAACTTACCTTCTTTATAAGTTTCAGTATTTGAAGCTTTTTCTACAGGTATAATTTCAATATCACTCTCTTCTTCTTCCGAAGATAAACACCACGCATTATGACCACCTTCTCCTATTACCTTAGCCTATAAATATTATTATTATTCAAATATTATTATAGATATTTTATTACGTTATTGATTGTTTATTAATTAACAATACCTCATCTGGGATCAATTCAGCAAAACCTTCACCTACTTTCACAATATGATTGCATTCTTCATTGTCATTATTTTCAAGAACCTCTGAAATAATTTCATATCATTTTATCAATGTATATATTTGTTTATTTATAAATTTTCTTACCACTTTTAGATTCCTCGCAAATTTTCCAGTTATTTAATTTAATACTGATATTATCGTTATGCATACTAGTTATTTTGTTTGGAACTATAAATTCTTTGATATGACAACTGTAAGTACTATCTTTACTAAATCTACAAATTAAAAAATATGATTAATAAATTATTATAATTATTATATTATTTTAATCAATAGATAATAATAATAATACCTTAAACTTATATCTCTTGTAACTACTTCTTTTATTTGTTGTATTAACTTATTTGCATATTTTGCTGCGTAACTTGAAGCTACAGATATAACATCTTCAACAGTTAATGTTTTAGTTAGGTAATCAAAATGTAAACTGCAAAGTTCATTATATGAATTTACACCAAGAGTTAATTGTGCTACACCAACTCTTTCTTCCATAAAAGTGGGATCCATGACAGTAATTCCACTATAAAAAAAAAAAAAAGACAAAGTACAAATTTATAATAATAGATATTAAAATATTGAAACAATTGCAAATATATAATAAATAATAGAGCTAACCTTTCAAATGTTATAAACGAGACGCAAACAGGTAAGAAATATAACGTCAACGGTAAAGGATCTTTTTCATTAAATTTATGAATTATAATGTTTGTTCCAGTTGATGTTACATCTGGTCTATGAAAATGCATAAGTGCTGCAAGGGCAGCAATAGATGCACAATCAATCAAATTTCCATCATGATTTAAAATGTTAATATCAAGTCTTAAATTCCATACCTGTTTGTACACAAATTATTGAATAAATGAAATAATAAGAAAATGTAATAAAAACAAAACAATAATAACCTTTTTGTCAGCCACTATACATAAAGATTCCAAATCTATGCATCTGGAATCTTTTATACATTTTTCTAATTGTCTGTTTATTAGAATAACAGCTTCGGATTGGCGATTATTTTCTAATTGTTGTGCTGCTATCGAATTCAACTCAACATTAACATAAATTGTACCTTCATTTGGTCGAGATGCTTTAGGTTGTTGGATATCGCATGATACTTGTGCAATTGCTCTGTTAAATTAAAATATAAATGATATATAAATATGATTATTGTTAATCTATTTAATGTCATAATTAATAATCATACTTTGTTTTTCCAAGAGATACAACACAAGAACCCCAATTAGAACCAAAATAAATGTCAACAGGTCGTGCTTCGAAAAGATCTCTTCCATCTAATCGCTGAAATCATTCAAACAAATATTAATCTAAAGAATATAATAAACGATTTTCTAATATATCTATATAATACTTTTTCTATTTATTCAATTATAAAATTATATATTTTATTAAAACTAATCTTTGGTTATAAAAGATACTATCACTGAAAAAATATACCGTATTTTCTTGTATGGCCGTATTTATAAAATTTCGCTCACAATTTGACAAAATAGATTTTTTCATCTTTATTTATTGTACGATTCGAATATATTACAAAAAATTTAATAATTTATAACATGTAAATAAACTACACGTGAGTTTCGCTTACAATCACTGTTTAGAACTTCAGACCATAGGCAATACATTTAACGCGGGAAAATTAAAAAATCTAACCTTTAAATCGTTTCTTGACTATGTTCAGGTCTATCATAGAGAACGTGAATACAATCAAAAGTTTTGTGTGTGACAGGTGCTATATTTCAATAACAAACAATTAAAAATAGTTTTAATGGACTTATAATATTAAAAAAAAAAAAAAATGAATAGAAATTTACGTATTTATATTTTTAATCGAAATATTTATAAATTGTTCGAAACAAGTAAAAGATCAGCAGGTCATAGCAAATGGCAGAACATAAAACATATCAAAGCAGAAACTGATCAAGCAAGATCTATATTATTTATACAATTAAGAAAAAAGATAAAAGAAGCTGTTGTTGGTATTTATTACATATTTTTATTGTTTTGTTTTTACTAACTTACTCATTTATTAAATTAATATAAGATAACCTTAAAAAAAAAACGTATCTTCAAATCTTTGCTACATATTGAAAGATTAAATATCAATTGTATTTTTTTTATTAATTGATTAATTAAAAGATAGAAATAAATAGAGAAAAGATATATAGTTATTAATTTAATAATTTCATTTGTAGAGGGTGGTGGCAGTATAAAACCAACAATAAATTTGAAATTAGCTCGTGTCATAGAACATTGTAAAAAATCAAACATGCCTATGTCAACGATAAATAATATCCTTAATAAAATAGATGGTTCTAAAGATAAGACTCAGTCTATTTTATTGCAAATTCAAGGACCAAAAAATTGTGTCATGGTTTTAAAAATTGTGTCAGATAATGTAGCAGATACAAAAATGCATCTTAATTCGATATTAAAAAAAATCAAGTAAGATAACTGAACGAATATTAAGATATACATCTTTTAATTATTAAAATAAATATGTATACACATATATATTATTTAAATAGTGCTAAGACATCACAAGGCACAATAAACAGTTTTTTCGACTATAATGGCATTATAATAACCGAGGCAAAATCTACATTGGAAACGGCAATGGAAGATGCAATAAATGTTGGTGCTATAGACATTGAAGAGATAGTGGAAGATGAGAATAAATATTATAAGGTTGTGTTATATTTATCATATGTTTTTCAAACTATTATAGTTTATTATTAATATGACTGACTATCTCTTTTTAAAATATTTTTTTTTTCTTCTTTGTTATAGTTCAAATGTGATCCACAACTTTTGTTAAAAATAACAAATCAATTGAAAAATCTTGATTACAGTATCATTGATGCTAAGGAAGAATTAATTCCATTATCTTGTATGAAGTTAAGCGACGAAGATCTACAAGTAGTTAAATCGGCTCAAGAGAGACTATTTAAATTAGATGAAATAGAAGAAATCTATGATAATATAGATCATAATAACTTATAAATCAATTTGCAGTGTAAATGCAGAATTACGTGTATATAACAGCAATGAATAAAAATGCATATACAGTTGTAAATCAAAATTAAATAATTTCAACATTAAACTTTATATGACTTAAATATACAAAATTTTTACATTATTTATTTTATGAATAACATTGATTAATTTCATATACGATCTTTTACGTTATTATATCAAGTTCTGTATGAAATTATTCATATACATAATACTTCATAGATAAATAAATAATATTATAAATGCATTAATAAATTATAAATTTAATTATACAATACTCACATCACGAATATTTCAAAAATATTGAAAAATAATATACAATTTGGCACAAGAATTGTTTCAAATATGTTTTAGAATAAATCGTGGTTTTTGTGACAATAAATCGATATATATATATATATATATATATATTATTAAAAAAATGCAATACCTCTTTAGAATTATTTCTGTTTTAACGTTAATATTATTAACGATAAACATTGTATTATTACTCTAAAAATACGAATAATATGTTTAATTTGATGCATCTTCAAAAATACTTAAAAATTGTTGTATGTGACACTCTTTGGATTATTTAATAATAATATTTTGTATAAATATTATTATGTGCTAATATCATCTAATATGTATGAAATACATAATCCATAATTAAAAGAAATATTATAAACATATAATATATAAAATATATGTTTCTTTCATAAAGAATTTCATTTTTTTTTTTTTTTTAGATTGTAGAGATTTTTTCTATGTAATACGAACTAATTGAGTTAAGGCGACATAACAATGATGTATATATGGACTTTCCAAAAAAATAATGTTTAAAGTATTAGTTAATAGATGAATAATTACAATATAATATTATGCAATAGTTTTTAAAAGTTAAATAGAAAAATAAATAATAACAATATCAATTTGGATGTTAGAACTAATTTATATACTTTTGGAAGCTTATTATTTGTATATATATATATGTATATATAAATCATAGGAAATGCTTTTTGAACATAATAGATAATAGAGTAGTTAGAAAAACAAGTTAACGCATATAAAGATAGTTCTATTATCATAGAAAAAATATGAACTCCTTATACTCTATATATATATACTAATATAAGTATTACATAATGCACTTATATTTTTAGAAAGATTATAGAGTGAAAAGAATTAACATATCCTCTTTTAATCATGAAAATATACTTATCTTCTAGTATTAATAATGATCACATGGATATAAATGGAGCTATCAAGCAATGAAATTTGTTAAAGTCATTTTAGAATCTGGCATAATATCTAATAAATAGTGAGGTGTATCAGTCATTGATGCAAGATCAGCTTCCAATAAGGCCAACTGTAGTTCTCTGCGTGCTTTTTGTACAACATATACCATAAGAGATACTCCTACTAATATCTATAACGAAAGGCTAAATTATTATTCTTATTATATTTATTAATTCTCGGATATTTTCATGACTGTATATAATCTATTGATTTAGTTGACAAATGAATTCTGAAAGAGTAAATTACCTGGAAACAGAAAACAATATAGCCAGTAGCTGCTGTTGATCTATCTTCTAGTACGTCTTGCATTGATCTTAAACTGCTACCTAAATAAACATTAATGAGTTGGGCTGGTAATAAACCCAATGCACTTGCTACATGATAACGAATGCCAGTTATGTTGCTAACCTGTATCATGTAATAAACATATTTAAATGTTACATATATGTATGTGCAACATAGAAAAAGTATATACGTTGCTATAATACATACAGCAAAGATTGTATTTTGCAGGCCAAAAGGTATCGGCGTTAATCTTGCAAAGAGAACAACTTTAAAAGCTTGTGGTCCTGAAATAACTCTAAGTATAGCTCTTGCAGTATCACTTTGTAACAGTGCTCCAATTGGCAGTTTAGAAGAGAAAGCACCCAAAGTGACATGTGCTATAGCAATACCCAAATTTGCGGAAAGAACAACCATCATTATTCCTCGCACAATACCAAAAAGATAACCACTGGCAACAATAAGGAAGAGATATCCAATGACGATAGGAAAAGAAACCACGGTGAACAGTGCAACAAATATGACCGTGATTATCCAAATATTTTGGTTTTCTATCCAGAAGAGCAACACCTTGATGTAATCTTTACATATGAAAACTATAGCTCCTAAAAGAGCTAAAGTTGCAATGGTAATTGTAACGTAGCATACAGAATTTGAACTGATACAGTTACAATGTATAGATGTCGGATGTTTAGATGAATGCACACAGGTTTCAACATGTTCTATATCTATTATATCCATGCTCAATGTATTTATCATATATTTCCATAATTAAAATTTTCCTTCTTTATCATAACCTAAGATTAAATATTTATTTATAAATATAATATATACTCTTTCATATATATATATATATATATATATATATACATGTATAAATGAATTTGATAAAATCACATGAAAACTTTTAATCAGTAAAAAGTTAGAACTTTAAATGTGAAACATATTACATCTATATTTATTGTTTCTTAAAAAAATATGATATATTTATAGTTTGCTATCAACATGTATATATATATATATATACATATATGTATAAAAAAAACATAAAATCAATATTCATAAGTATTAATGTAAAATATTAAAGACGCAATATGAAAAGATATTAATAAATCACAAATGATAATTTTCTACTTACTTTCTAATAAAGAGGATATACTAAAATTCATCATATTTTTGTTCTTAGTCTCACATATCCTTATTCATAATAAATGCTCAGATAATATTAATATAAATTAATAAAAATATTGAAGACAATGATAGCTTAGAAAGTATAGTTCTAAGCTAAACTAACCTAATATATTCCTAAAATGACGTTACATGATAATCATAATGTGATCAAGGAAAAAAGACATAAGTAAGCGGAACGACTACGCCTCGAGTTCTAACTTTCCTACGCAAATCTGCCATCTATCTGAAGAAAACATTCTAAATAATAACAATATATATATATATATATAAGTGAGAAATACAAATATGAAGGGATAAATATCGTTTGGTAATTATTTTCAAAAACATAATTTGTGATTATAGGTTATCAATTACAATAGTTTCTATTGATCTCACAATAATAAATAGATATCGATAATAATTACAATGGAATATTCGATAAATTACAATTGTTACATTTGATAAGTTAAATTTTCGATATATATCGATAGTTCGATTTTCGATATATATCGATACTGTCTATGGCCGCGAAACAAGATAGCCATAGAGGGTGGATATTCGACAAATGTCATCGATAGTAATTCAACATTCCAAGTGTGTTAACTTACATATTAAATTATTCAAATAAAATATTTGAAAGTAATTACATACTCTACAATCATGGCAAGTATTGTGGGCCAAATAGATATTAAATCTTGTAAATAATTTTTTATGTTATGTCCATAACCTCATTTGACATATTTCTCGTTCATATTGAAATATTTAAATGACATTATTATATATGTCACTTTGACAATGTTATTGACATTTTTACTAATGTCACTTTTGATTCTTCAACTAATTGATATTTAAAAAAAATCGATTTTTCCATTATTATAATCCTTATGATAATCATTAAAAAAATGGAAAGAAAAGAAGATAACTTCAATTGTGTAAAGGTCATCAAAGTGGCTTAATTATATTGTAAATTATCAATATTATTTATAAGTAAGTTTGGATGTTTCACAAACAGCAATAAATTATATTAAAAATAATCAATGATTTATTCCAGATTCGTTTTATTTTAATTCAAAACAGAGCTGGTAAAACTAGACTTGCCAAATGGTATATGAATTTCGATGACGATGAGAAACAAAAATTGATTGAAGAAGTTCATGCAGTAGTTACTGTTAGAGATGCCAAACATACTAATTTTGTAGAAGTAAGTTAACAAATGAAACATTTGCAATATGTCTCTCATTATAATAATCTATTAATTTTTCTTTATCAATATATGTTTTAGTTTCGCAATTTTAAGATTGTCTATAGACGATATGCAGGTTTATATTTCTGCATTTGCGTGGACGTAAATGATAATAATCTTTGTTACTTAGAAGCAATTCACAATTTTGTAGAAGTTTTAAATGAATATTTTCATAATGTATGCGAATTGGATTTGGTGTTTAACTTTTACAAGGTAACAATTGCTACTGCTTCTAATTTAATTTTTTTTTATAATATTCTGTAATTTTTCTTTTTGAATTTCTATCAATGATGTATTTTATATTTGCAGGTGTATACGGTGGTAGATGAGATGTTTCTAGCTGGTGAAATTAGAGAAACCAGTCAAACTAAAGTGTTAAAGCAATTATTGATGTTGAATTCCTTAGAATAAATCTATTTATAATGTATCATCCTATGATACTGAAGAAGAAGATTGTTTATTTATCATGAAAATTGATAATCGTTTCATTTACAATGCGTTTTAAATTATTGAAAATAATTTTCAAGAATATAGCTACATTATTCATAATCTTATAAATAAATATCGTATTATGAAAGCACAATATTAACAATTATAAACGCGTAAGTGTTTACCATTAGAATGTAATATATGTTCCTATTTTTTTTTGTCTTATTTATAAAACAATACTTATAATTAAAAAAAATATATCTGTTTTATTTAATTCTTTTCAAAATAATCATTCAAATTAAATTATTCATTCAGACGACGAGAAGATAAATTGATGGTTTATAATAGATATTATATCACAAGTTAAATAAGAGATGAACACGTTTATTGTTTAGTTACAAATGAGATTGTATATTTCCTTTTCTTTTTCTTCTTTTTTTTTTTTTTTTTTTTTTTAATTCTACAGAACACTCATATCTCAGTGTCGTTACATTTTTTTTTTTCAAGCAGAAATGTTATGTAATATTACCGTGTTATGTATACACACTTTCTTTATGCATATACAAAGAATAATCATCTATAATCGTAATGTTAGTCGATGTTGTTGTTAATGTGTGTATGTGTGTGTGTGTGTGTGTACCTGATGTAAAAAATATTGTTTTAAAACATATGATATAGGATGCGAAATGTTTAATTTCTCGTATTCTATTAAATAAGAGAGAGAGAGAGAGAGAAATAGAAAGAGAAAAAGAGAGAGAGAGAGACATCGGTTCTGTGCACTTTGGCAAATTTTATTGTCATATCTCAACCATATTAAAATATTCAGCAACCATTATAGGTTTCCCTTCTACACATGACCAAAAAAAAAATATATTTATCATAATATAGGTGTGTTTTGTTTTTTCATGGCATTTGATACAACAAAAATTGTTTTGTAGGATTCAGTTTAAACTAATCAATGAAATTACTCATTTGTTTCTAGAGAATTTCGTTTTTTTTCTTTTTTTTTTTTTTTGTAGCAAAAAAATAAAAGTCTGATGAACAATACAGAGAAAAAAAAATTGACCGATACACAAATAGTAAATGATCGAGCAATTGTATTCTTTTTCCCAGATACTCCAATATCCCCAAAATTAGCATATATTTATAATAGTAATAATATAATGCAAAAGAGAAGCTAGCGCAATATATTATTTGTCATTTTTGTCTTGACAATTTATTATTATATCTCAAGTTAATTTGCTTAGTTTTAAATAGTAATTATTTAATATATTTTTTTTTCTATAAAACTAAACTAGATTATGATAAACTTAACATATATATGAATAGGGAGGGGAAGAGAGAAAGAGTTTGTGTGTAGAGAGAAAGAGAGAGAGAGAGAGAGAGATAGAGAAAGAGATATCAAATTTGGGCGAAATAATACAATAGCGCCGTTTTGCCATTTATGAAGGACTAAAATTAAATGCCTCTTGCCATGTGCGAGCAATGATGTTAATTTCCTTAAATGGCAATAAAATTATCCTAAAAGAAATATATATATATGTATATATATCCGTACAGGTGTGTATATATATATACATATATATGTATAGTTATTAGCAGTTACTTTCATTGCGTACACGAATTATTAATTAACTATTTTTTTCATTATTCTTTACGTTCTTTCGTTTTGAATTAAGTAGTATTTTTCATTTTTTTTTTTTTTTTTTTTTGATTAATGCATTCGTCAATCTACATTTCGCTGTGTGCGTGTGCAATTTGTAAAAGTATGTTCACGCATATACAGCATGCACGCACATAGAAACATGTACAGTATGGTAATATTTATACATGAAGAAGAGAAAAGAGTGAGAAACGGCGCAGTTACAATAAACAATAAAAAAAAAAAAATACTATTTCGTAGATACAACACGTTGATAGAACATTTCTTCATTTCATTTTCAATTGAAACATTTTTCATCACACTCCGCTTGATACCAGTCAACGTTGTTTACATAAAAATGTACAAATAACGTTCAATTGATCTTTTTTTTTTCTATGAACAATTATTATTATTATTATTATTATTATTATTAATATTATTATTATGTATATAGGAACTGATAAATTTCTGTGAAAAATAGTACGAAAATGATAGCAGCATGCAAGTGGAGTGTGTTTCATTATTACTGTACATTGTTTACAAGCATGCCCGCCCCTCTTCATGATTTCTCGATGACGAATTATTATTTAATATGTGCTTTCCTTTTCATATATTATTCATAGGATAATCAAGTGATATCGATTTACATGACAGTCAGCTAGATTATAAAAAAAAAAAAAAAAAACAAAACAAAAAAAACCCAATAATGTAAAATTATGTTTTTTAAAAGGCGGACCAGATGCGCCAAATGTACAAGAAGTATACACATACATATATATAATGCCATGGTGGGGGGGGGGGAAGGTGGATGTGATCTAATTAAGTATATTGATAGTATGTAAAAGAAGTTTTGTCAGGCGTTATCCCATGCCAAGTTGTTTTTGATAAAAGTACCTGTGTATTTGCTTGAACTAAATAATATCATGCATGTTCTCACGAGAAAATTCTAATCTTTTGATGAATCTATTTGTTGATTTTTGATGATATGTCCCAAGAACAAATAGAAGAAAAAAAAAAAAAAAGAAAAAAAGAAGAGGCCAAAGAAAATCAATCAATCTTTAGTCAAATACGAAAAAAGAGAAAAAACCACGACGAAACGTACATAATCGATTAATTGTTGAGAGATCTCTATGTGTCGAATTTTATCTTACATTGCACTTCCAAATTGATGGTTTCCTAATTCTTGTAGAATAATGTGATGGCCGACCAGCGTCGGTAGCATCTACTGCTGGATGCACAGGTATTCACAGAGCACAAAGAGTACTTGGCTATAACAAACATTTTATTCAACTATCATTGTGGTATCAGATATAAACGAACATTTTTTTTTTATCATCATCGTTAAAAGTACTAAACCGAATGGCCTAAGGTACGCGTATAAGTGTGAGCGTGTGAAAAAAACTGTTTATGAATGTGTATGTAGTATGTGGTTGTCGTCGTCGTCTCATATTTCTGCCTCTACAAGACGACGTCCGTGTGTCAGCATTAACGTGACCACCCCTTTTTATTTTTTTTTTTTTTAAATAAAATTATTATCTACGAGCGCATCCTTATGCGTCATAGACTTGACACAAATGCGATAACAGCAACGTTAAAAAATATAATACAGTATGGGGGGGGGGGGGCAATTACAGAATGAAAAAAATAATACATTCTTTTGTATTTGATATCACATACAGCCCGGGCCAATTCCGTACTGGACATGTATATCTTAATTATATTAGATTTTCGTACTGTAAACCTTTTTTTTCTTTTTTTTACTTCGCGAACTTCTACTTACGTACATTGTGAATATCGAATAAATTTTTTTTTTTTTGTTAAATGTTCTTCTTGTCGTTTCTTTTTTTCTCTCTGTTTTTTTTTTCTTTTTTTTTTTTTTTTTACAGATCTTTCAAAGAGTAATGGGCAATGTGAGATATCTCAGTCTTAATGACGGGATCGATGAAGCCGTTGTTACAAACCAGAATGATTGTGGTGCAGAGGAATATGTAGTTGACGATACAATATATCTGCTGTTGCTGTGTTGTATTAGGATGTAGACTGGGAGTTAGTGTATAGTTCAGAAATACTGAACTTATTAAAGTGGACGCAGTTCTTCCAAGGGCATCAGAACCCCACTTGTAACTCCGTCCATACCTCCCGATCCATTTGTTCCATGAACTGGTAAGCTGTTCACAGTCATGCTACGGTCATCTGCAACGACCTTCTAATTAGCAAATTTATTTGTGTAGTAGATGTTTGAATTATTTTAACCCAATGATAGATAGATATAACAGGATTTTTATGGGTATTAACGAAAAAAAAAAAAAGAAAGAGAAATTAACTAAATACATACACATATACACCATGATAATATATATGTGCATATATGAATATAATTCACATATTTTTATATATACAAATCAATTTAAAAAGAGATCTTATGGAAAACAGTAATTAATACAAGGTATCAATACATGCAAAAATGGTAGTAAAGTTTTGAAATTGTATATATATATATATCGATCTTTACAGTTGTTAATTAACATAGGAATACTAATAAAAACATGATTTTTTTTTTTTTTAAAGGAATGTCGTACTTAAATCTACAAGTGATTAGTTTGAATTAGCATTTTAATTACAATTATTTCTCAAAGAATTAACAATTTTATCTCTTAATGTAATATTCTTAAAATAAGATTAAACGTAACAACTATATTGTATTTTCTTATATATTCCAACATTCCTCTTAAAGTTGTTAATATTGGTATTCCTATCATTTCTTTTACTATTCATGTACACATTTTGTTTTTATCGTATGATATAAATAGAATGGTGTCTACAATTTTCCACCTGGAAGTAGTTAGGAAAAATTCAGAAATATTTCTATTAATATTACAAGATCATAAATTACAATGAGAGAAAAATATTGTGTATATTTTATATATATATATTTAAAAAATAAAAAGGTATATATATATGTTAGGTATGGATAGGATATATATAAAAGATTTTCATTTCTTAACATAAGAATAAAAATATTTGAAATTTGTGTGACATTTACCTAGGTTGCTACTCACCTACAGGCAATGAGCCTGCCATGGGAGTAGGTGATGATGATACCATATTTAATCGACCCTGTTCTTTTACTATGGGATCTACAAATTCAAATATAATAGTCATATAAAATGAAAAATAATAAATTAAGCATGTAGCTAGGTACTTATATTTTTGTTGGTTTAAATTACTTACAAAAATAAGGATGGTCCATAGCCTCACGTGCCGTGAGTCTTTCATAATGGTCATAACGCAATAGCTTGTCGAGAAAATCAAGACTTTCCGGTGAAACTAAGTGTTGATTTTCTGAATGCACGAAACGTTCCCAACGCTTACGCGAGTGCCTTCCTAATATGTCATTAAAACGAGGATCTAATTCGATATGATATTTATCAAGATATTCCAATAGTTCTTCAGTTCCAAGAACTTTTGCGATTCTAACTAGTTGGTCGTAATTGTCATGTCCATGAAAGAATGGTTCTTTTCTAAAAATCATACTCGCGAGCATACAGCCCAACGACCACATATCTAGGGAGTAGTCATACATCTAAAAACAAAAATGAACACATTGACTGTTACGTTAGTCACCCGTGACAGAAGAAAAAAAAACTGATATAAACTTCAAATAATTATTGTAACACACCTGATAATCTACAAGAAGTTCTGGGCCCTTAAAATAGCGTGAAGCTACTCGAACGTTGTATTCTTGCCCAGGATGATAAAATTCTGCTAGACCCCAATCAATTAACCGCAATTTTCGGTTGTCATGGTCTATCATAACATTGTGCGGCTTTACATCTCTGTGCATTATACCCATGCTGTGACAGTAGTCCAATGCCTATGTAAGATCACAATATTCCCAAATATTATTACGTAGTCTAATATTATATTTAACTAAACTATTACAAGGAACACACTCTTGAAATATTATAAAAGAAAAAAATTAAGATAGCAAACAGAATAACTAACTAAATAATCAAGTTGCTATAATTTACTTATCATCTCATATTTACATTTTATCTCTAAGACTATTAATTTGAATATTTATCTAAATTTAAAATAAAGAAACATTTTGTTAAATAACTTAATGTAATGATGTTGCTTAATTTAATCAATAATTAAAATATTTGAATAGTTTGAGCACTGAAAACTTAGCACTAAACTAAACCATTTATCAATTGTTTGTTTTTCTTTAAATGTAATACTTATAGATTCATATCTTGAAAAATAAAAAAAAAAAATAAATAGATAGATATGAAATAAGTATTTGTCGAGCTCTTTCTTGAACCTACATAAACACCTACATCTATCAAAACAATAATCTCGAAGATTCTGCATGGATTGATATTTGGTTCCATTGCAATTAATTATACACGCACTTTTAATAATTCGTAGAGGTAGTATCTTATGTCGTAGTCTGTTAGAGTCTGGTATAACTGTTTGAAATCTGTGTTGTTGACATGCTCAAAAATCAGTGCCGGCGTTCTTGATACTGGATCTTTAACAACTGCCTGGAGTGTAATTATGTTGGTCCCTCCTTTAAGATTTTCTAAGATTTTAATTTCTCTTTTTATTTTCTTCTTTTTTACAGGCTACAACACGACAAACAACAAATATTATTAATATATTTGAATATTATTAGAAAACATATTGCACATTATAACAATGATACCTTCAAGATCTTAACAACACATTTTTCAGTGGTCGTTACATTTATGGCTTCAAATACTTCACTATACTTTCCTCTGCCAAGTTTTCTTACTAACTGATAATCATCTTGCTGTCTATAGAAAGAAAACAAAATACAAATGGCGTTATTACATTGAGTAGAAAATATTAAGTATTTTTATTAACTTACCCCCAATCAACAACGTATGATTCGTAATCCCAATAATCTCTAGATTTATGTGAATTCACTTCTGTATAAACTCTTGCTCTACTTGGTAATGCCATTTTCTCAAGTATATGTGTGTTTCTATTTGGTTTATCGACAGTTGTACTGTCTTGACCAACCTCCGAATTCTTATTGTTACTAATTGATCGTAGTTTTCCACTTGTCCACCCACAAGCACGTGCTAACAAAAGTAAACCTAAATAATGAACAAACAATTCTAAATAATGAAAAAGAAATAGGTTAGATTTATGCAATAAGATGGTAACAAATGAATACAACAACAAAAATCTTAACTTTTACAAAAAGTTATATATATATATATATTGAAGAAATACTACTTGATCAAAAAATAATTGACACATTAATGTGCACAATAATTATTGCTGAAATTCTATATGTTTAAACTTATTAAAAAACATAGTCAAATTACTCTATTAGTATCTATATTACTTATATAAATATATATATATATATATATATATACATATTAGATGTATATGCGTTATGCATGAAATTGTAAATGTCCAATGTAAGTCGATAGAGTTTAACTCAATGTACAAAATGCGCTAAGAAATGGTATATCGGTTGATTAACCATAGAATATAATGAACAGCATGCATTAACAAAGAATAAGATAAATATAGGAATAATAGGAATAGTAGGATTCTCATGAATATCTTAAAAGTTTACTTAAGATGCTTATGATGAAAAATATATACAATTAGGTAAAAGCTAAGATCTTTTTTTGAAGAAGAAAGTATTTCACAAAGTTAAGTAAAATTGATAAAAAGAAATGCAACAGTATCTAATAACAAAGTAAAGTATATGTAGATACTTATTGATTATAAGGTACATAAGCCTTATATTTGGTTGAAATACTTATTACAGTTTCTCTATTAAAATATGTCTATTTGTTAAAATTATTTCTAATAAATAAAAGTTAAGAATACATAGGCAAATGAAAACGTGCGGATGATTAATTTTTGTAGATTATGATTGAAATGTAAAAAACTATTCTATTATCGGCGCATGGAGTAGAGGCATGCACACGCATAAGACGACACGAACACACATGTATGAAGAAAATCACACGCCATCGCGGTAGGACAACCGATGTTAGCTTATTTCGGGCTCACCTAAAGCATTCCGCGTCCAAATTTTGACTCTTTATACTGCAATAGGATTCCTAATTAGTTGCAATACTAAGAAAGTTGCGTATGGGATTCCTGAGGCCGCGTGAGCTTGACAAACTCGAGATTTTTACGGGCGGCCGGCTTCTCAAACGAGCGAGGTCCAAGATGGCAGCCGGCACCCAACCACAAACTTACAAACAGTAGATAGAAATGACTCCAATTTTATTTTCGATGCTGCCAACGCGAATTAACTTTATATTATTCCTATTAATATACAAATATATATATATAATATATATATAAGTATATATATAAATATATATATATATATATATATGCATATATATACTTTTACCTAATATCATTTATATATAAGAGATTATATTATTGCATCGTTTGAAAAGAAATTTTTTTCATTCAAATTATTATAAACAAAGTTTATAAATATCGAACTAAATCGATTGTTTTTTTAAATCTTCTGACATTGAAGAAGTTCTATTTTTTTAACAAACGAACTTGCAATAATAAATATATTATATCTCTAATAGTAATAATCGTTAAAAAAATTACAATAGTTACATTAATAATGTTAAACGTGTAATATTTATTTATCTATTAGTATTTAAAAAGAAAATAAGATAAATTTTGCAACTGTTAATACCAACCATACGATTTTCATTCGATTTTGACCAAATCGATATGAAATTTGAATTTTCAATTATTTTGCAAAAGTTAATCAAATGAAAATATATATATATATATATATATGTATTACATTATTTCAGAGAATATATTTCTGTATTGTTTGTCATCAAATCTTTGTATAAAATAAAAATGTAATAAAACATTTTCTTTTATTAAACAAATAAAAAATTTGAAACAACTTACTTTATATCTATATATATATATATATGCTTATATACATATACATAATTTTAATATAATTAAATGATTTCAAGTTTCGTTCTAAAAACATTCTTTTCGTACTCGTTTTCATTGTTTTATTTGTCACTCACTTGATCTACTTTTTCGCGCGCAATTTTTTTGCAAGAAATTCACTAGTCTCTCGCTGAATAGCTAATATTCCCTAGGATCGAAGTATTATTATTGGATGAAAGAAAACCGTTATATAAAAAGTGAGAGATGAGAGTAAGTAGTTCGCGGGGTATAATCCATGTATACGGGCCCGCAATGCTGAATGTGTAAACGTCTTTTTTATGTGAATAGAAATGCAATCTAAATTGTGTTTTCAGAACGTATACAATAGGCAGGCAGGAGCCGCATGAGTGAAAGGGTAATGACGCGCATAGGAGCTCATCATCAAAGTGTTTTTTTAACAAATGGCTCTATCCGAGGTGCACGATGTAGCTACGATTATTAGCAACAATCGTTTCAGTGTTGACAAGGTAAAAATTCTTTCTTTAACTTTATAAATCTAGACACTAATGCGAAGTTTGACTTTTTACACTTTTCTTAAACTACTGCGAAACAAATCATTTCGATCGTGAGATTACTTTACAGTTCTACGAATAACGAATGACAATTCGAACAATCTATTTTTATTACATTTATTTCTTTGTCTAAATCCTTGTATTATTCGATAAACTATTGAAATATTAATTAGACATTCATTTCAATCTTTTCTAATTAATACAAGTTTATCTTTGTTATATGATACTTTGATACAATTCTCCTTATTCGTTATAGGATAAAGTTACGCGATTGTTTCAGATTTGAAAATCTATTTGTGCAATAGACAATGTATCCGTTTGCTTCTGTTTTATCATTTTATAATAATTTATTATATTCCAAATGAAAAATCATTTTATTTATTGAGTAATCCTTAATAAGGAGATAGTTTAAAGATAATCTCTCCATTATATTCTTAGATATGAATGATTTAAAATCTTTGTCACGTATTTTTTTTTTTTTTTAGATGAATTTGGAAGATGAAGACAATCAAGATTTAAACAATTCAATGGTCAATGATTTAGTTTCTAAAATTCTTGACGATGACTCTACCATCAACGATCATACATATAACAGTAGCTATAATAGCAATTTTCCGTTTTTATCATTACCTCATTTTTGCAATGCCGATAGATTGGAGGATAATTTAAAGATTCCTCAAAATGATGGCATCGATTGTAATGATCACTATCAGCTGAACAAATTGTTGAACAATAGTTGTAGTTCAACGATCATTGATCAAAATTCTAGTAATCTTTGTCAAGAGTTAAGAACGTTAAGTCTGAACGGATGTATGGAACAACAACCTGTTATAACAGCAGATCAAGGAAATTTGTATACCAGTGGAATGATAGGAAGCGGATATAATAGTAATTCTCATCAATATGCTGTGCATTCTACCAATGAAAGTTGCTGTAGTATAACTAATCCGTCGTCAGTTTGTAATAATTTATTGACGCCAGATGAAATAAATTATAGCAAACAGTCTTCTAGTTGGCCAGAAACTTTAATGACTCCAGTTAATACGCAAGATATGTTAACAAATTATCAACGGATTAGATCGTCTATAGATTCGGATTTAAATTTTAATGATGCTTTAAATTTAGCTTCAGAATCATCAAATTTGGCTGTTATGAATGAAGCAGTATACTATAATAACTTTAGATCAAGCGCACCTTTAAATTTACACGATAATAATCCTACAGTTGCGACTACTCACGATGTGTACAATATGACTGGAAATAATCAAACTTATAGACCAAACTCGTCAATGATTAATCTTAACACGGATGCTTCTTTTGGAACAACTTCTCCGCTGCAACATTTCACTTCTAGCGATATAACTCTGCAGAATTGTTTTGGAAATAATACGCAACACAATAATATTGCAGAGTACAAAGATTTATATGAACCCATTAGATTAAGTACTGGAAATGTTACTATGAATAACGAACAAGTTTGCTTATTACATCAACAAACATCTAATTATCAGTTAGAACGATCTGTGGACCAAAATCATAAGCAGCATCCAATTGACTGTTTTCCTTGTACTAATGAATACGCTGTGCCATCTATTAATGATTTAGACACAAATGAGAATATTTGCATTAGTAGTAATTATGACCATAGAACTGATAATAATTTATTAAAGATTATAAATAATAAGCCAAAGACTAACGAAACTAAAATCTACTCCTCTATCGGTTTTCCAAAAAATATAAGTCCGCGAGATGAGAATGAGGCAATAGTTAAATACGATTATCATAATTATCAACACAACATTATAAAGAATGTGGAAAACTTGAAAACATTGTCGCAAAACTTTACGCCCTATCAAAAGGATTTAAAGCAATCTCATGCCAATCCTGCATACAAAATGCAATCATTTGGTTCATCTGATAAAGTGGCTTTTACATCGAGAAATCGCTTGACCAATAAAATTAATGATTCTGCTCTTGGAAGAGATGTTTTTAATTATGTCATTAAACAACATCAAATGCCAAGTGTTCAAAATATATCTAATATTCCACCACCTGATATAATGTTTAATTCAACGCTAATACCAAACATGACTACTGGAAGACCTGGATTATTTTCTCCAATGATGCCAGTTCCCGTTCCACTTCCTATTCCACCTATTTATTCTGTTTTATATGGTGGAGGACTCAATCTTAAAGGCAGTAATACCATAGCAAGACGTACAGGTCCCTCAAGTATATTACATCTTAGATTAGAACAAACATATGAACAATTTAAACAATTGGAAAAAGAAAGAAAGAAATGCGAGGCTGGATTGGCTGCTCAGTTTCCTGGAAAAAGAGTAACCAGCGCTAATAATATACCAATTCCACGACTACAAGGAAATCCATCAAGAGTAGATCGATTAATTATTGATTATCTGCGAGAACATGCCCGGGTGATCACGTTAATAACCAAAGTAAATACTACAATTAGATTACAAAAAAAAAAAAAGATTATTAATAATAAATAATTGTATTAATTTTCTCTATCAGATGGAGTGCTTGCGTGGAAGTTCAATGAACCAACGTATACACAAGGCAATGCAGTATTGGCTAGAAGCAATCAAATTTGTTCAAGACTGTAGAAAGCAGGAGATCGCTAATGCTACCAAACGTCAAAAAGAAAATCCTCATTGCATTCTCGTATACAATGATAATGGTAAGATATCCTTTTATTAGTTTTCTCTATGATATTGTGTTATATAATACACGAATTATTGCACAGCATTGCTTTCGCTAAGGAGCTCGCTCATGTGTCTATTGGTGTAACTCGATATTGTTATGGTTCTATCAATATTCAAGTGTGCTACCCGGATCCGTGTAGCAAAAAACATAATACGGATGATCACAGACACAACGGGTTATGTGAGTGGCATATATTTTTTTTTATTTTAATTATTTTTATTTTATTTTTTTTTTTAATCCTCTCTGTATGATGATAATGATGATGATGATGATAATGATGATACATATGTGTCCTATTAAGTAACTGCTTCTTATCACTACACATTCTATATCGAGTCCATGACACCCCCCCCCCCCTGTACATCTTGATAAAGTTGGGGGGGGTGTGCTTTTGAAATAGATTTTATTTAGACAAATGTTCTTCAATTAGATCCAAAGAAAAAGCCTGACATATTAAATAACATATTATTTCACATAGTTTGAATGAGAATATCTTTATATGTATATAAATCAATTAGTGGTAGATATATAGTACTCTTATATAAAAAAAAGAGAGAGAGAGATACTGCAACATTGCATTTAGAAATCACATACCATTTTTTTTTTGTTAAAGTTTATTCTTTAGAATATACTTGTACTTGTCATGATCGTACTATAACATTTATATGATTATTATAAAAAAAAAATGCATTAGCTTACCATGTAGCAGTAGTAGTTTGTTAATAGTATCTTTTAGTAATACATGTTGAGATCAAAATATATATTTGCCTAAACCAAAAGTCACCAAAGATCTTCCTGATATTATGTTTATATACACGATATGTATGGTGTATTATATATGAACACTTAAATAATATATACACATATATATTGTGATATATATGTATATATTGTTTAAAAAAATATGAATTCGGTGCTCCTTAATTATGGAAATCATTGTGAATATCATGTGAATATCATTGATGTAATATTCAAGATTGATTATTTTCAGGTATTGTGTGTATCACACTGCACAAAATTCCATAGCATGTTATCGAAAGAAAAGATTTATTTAGATTTCTTTAGGTACTTTTTTGATATGTTCAAGTAGAATTATAAATAAATCGATATCTTTATCATTAATAAGAGAATCATGAATTTTTAGTATAGCATGTTAACGTTTAGTTACATTATCATAATTTATATTGAATATTAAATTTATAAATAATTTTTTTTTTTTTTTTTTGATAAAAATCATTAATATTATTTTAATTTTGTATATACATCTATTGAATTTTTAACAAATGAAATTTGTCTTTATCAAAGATAAAATGTACTTAATTATAGACCAACAAATTTTGGATTATCTTGAAATATACTTGAACTTACATTTGTATTGGTACTAATTAAATTGTAATAAAATATATTAAAAATTGTTATGAATAAAAAGTGGAAAATAATTGGCAGATAATTAATGCTAAAAATAGTATATTTATATGCGATGTATTTTTTCTGCTTTCAGATATATTAACTCTGGCCAATAGTGTTCATGAATTGACAAAGGCATCTCGGTATGCAAGAAGCGGTATGTACAATGCAATGCAAGCCACGTTGTTGTGCGATTTGGATTTAGAGAAGAAAATAATTGAGACTTCTTCTGATCCAGTCCTTGTGATAAAGCGTATTGAAAATCAGAAAACTGCTGGTACTAGCAACTTTTCTAATAATAATTAAAGAAGATTTCATCCAAAATTCTCGCTTCTACATTGGTTGATAAAAGCTTTTTATGTATTTAGCATTGACAAAGATTTTTCAATGGCTTATAGGAAATGTTTTTTAATAATGTTCTCTTGAAAAAAAAAAAAGAAAAAAAAACTTAGAATGGCACTAAATACAAAAGCTACTGGAGAGCTAATTGTAAGTGTGTTAACTTAAAGGGAGAAAAATATTTCCACTTTTATTAGTTCACGTCTGTGAAAGCTAAGTCTATTAACTTTTTACAAGTTCTTTGTAACTCCATAGTTTTTTAATGTGTATTCAAAATACTTAATATCTTATAATATAAAGAGTGTTTTATGGGGTATTTTGATGTGCACAATTAATTGTCCGAGTGTACATCACATAATTGTACGTAAACTTTGCTTACACTTGATGGTACTATAGAAAGTAAAAATGACTAAAATGGCGATTATTTCTTTATCAGTCATTGTCAAAATCATGTATTTCTTTTCTAAATTCATGCAAGTTTTTTTTTTTTTTTAATCGATAGAAACAAAATTCTTCCTATGCAAGCATCTCAAACGATTAATAATTGACTGTTATTCAGTTGCGTCATAGGATAAACGATCTAGGCTACATTTTATCAATATTGATTTAGATAAATAGGAAATAATATTTTAGACTAGTTCAATGTGGCCTTCCTTAAATATATGACCCAGATGTGTATCAAGTAGACAATTCCTTCGAAACTTTAGGTGATATTATAATATATTCTCCAATACTTTAAAAGATTAAATATTTGTAAAGGTGCAATCAGATTTATTTCGATATAATATGCAACGTTTATGTTGTCTTTCAAATATAATTCAAATGCTAACTATTGTACTATGTGCATTACTCGTGTAGTACATAGGTATACTTAAGGACACGTTGGTTGCATATAAGATTAATGCGCAAATTAGGTACAGAATATTCACTGATGAACGCACAATCACATGACATTTATGTACACGTGCTAAACTTTTTCATATATCGTCCATTTACACATATCTGTGTGCATAGATGTAACATAATCTTGTGAGTGTGCATAATAACAACGACATGATATTTCTGGCAAACAGAGATGTCTCCTTTAGTAAATTAGTTATATAGTAATGATAGTACATTGAAGAGTAAAATATACAATAGCGACACATTGTGTTGGCTTCTTTGATGCGAGTCGTTGGGTCTGTGTGATCTTACTAAACTGCCTCGAGCATCTTCTAATCGGTGTTAAGGGAATATTTGAATAATTTCATTCAAACATTGTACTTGGTAAATGCTATGAACAAAATATTTAAATGACCTAACCACTGCTGCCTGATATAGTATAATGCATATTACATATATTAACAAAATAGAGTTTGCGAATTAATAACGACAATTTTAGATATATTATTATTATTATTATTATTTAATAGATAATAGATGTAATTGAGTTACTTGCAAAACATTACACATTTCTATCGATGTGTATGCTTTGTTTTGTTTTTTGAAGGTACTTAGTACAAGGATTTTTAGATATAAAGTACATTTTTGTCTTCTTTTAAGAGCACATTTTTGGAAAGATATTATATATATATATACGTAGCTTAGAAATGTTTAAATATATCCTCTTGGAGGATTATTTAGCGCGGGATATTAACACGTCTTGAAAAATAATGAATATGTATTTGTAATTCAGGAATTTTCTGCATTTACTCCATTTTTAAGAATAAGAGAATAATGAATTCCTTAGATCTTCTAGAATATTAGGATGTTATAGAACGGTTGTTTCTTTTTATTTTCTTTTTCAAAGCTATAGAAGATACAGTTCGTGTGTATCTTCTTTCTACTAATATCACATCCGCCCACTTTTTAAATGCAGATTCACTCAGATATGACGTTGTAAATGCGGAAGCCTACACATGCTTTAAATTATTATTATCTGTGTCGCTACTGTATATCATTTTACATCATGACTTTAGGAAAGTATAAATTTAGTTGATATACATATATTATTATAATGCTTAACGAAAGCAGTTGTTTTTTCACGTTATATTTTATTATTAGTTTTAACCTCATGTTAAGCGAAACCTATAGTTTCCAAGACTTAATATATATCTCTGTTAGCAAACTTGCTACGCTTAATTATGGTTGACTTTAACCAGGGATGTGAGGTCAATAGGATTTCACTGCCCAAACATATATTTATGCACAAATGAAATGAATTATATAATGAACAAAAAAAGTGATGTTTTTCCGTTACGTCGATAAAATTATTATTGACATTTATTTGATTTTCGATTTCCTATGGCCTCATAATTCTAGCTAATCATACAAACGGCAATGCTATTTTTGTACAACTATGTTTAACAATTTTATGAATATCTCTAAATGTTGGGGCCAATCAGATTGTATTTCTGTAAATGCTAATTACCACATCCCCAGTTAAGGTTTAATCTGTATAAGAAAATACTTATCATTCGGGAGCATGCATTATTTGTGTATTTGTATATAATTGCAAGAATTTCTAAAAGCAATTGAAACAACAAGAAAATGTTGATAGATATATGTCTTCGGTAGCAGCGTGTATAGTATGATTGAGTGGTCGTTTCAAATATTGAAAGTTGTGTTTTACTTTTTCAAATATATATCTAATCAGGGAATTTCTTTTATTATTAATTTATATTATTGTGATCGTAATATGATTTTATATGTGAATATTCTTATTATTATTATTATCATTATTGGTTGTTCAACCCTTTTGTTCAAAAAGTTATTTGTAAACTTGTCAATTGACATTAATGCATAATACCAAAAGGTTGCAATATACTATATAACACTTAGACTGTGTGTTACGTTAGTTTATACAATTGTTCATTTTCTATTGTCCATTGTGTAATATTACTTAACAACTTGCCACGAAGAAAGTCTTCTTTTTCAATATAATCAGGGACATGAGTTGAACATCCAGTATATTTAACGCACGTGATAATGTTCAAATAATTTATGAACTCTCTTTGTTGATTTGAAAATAATTAGAAAATAATCAATATTAAATTAAATATTAAGTCTAATATAAATCGTAAGATAGGCAGGCGACACACTGCGCACTTACAAACCATGTGCGAATTATTACATTTTTGTTTTTTTTTTACTTAATTATTTATGATTAGCATGTGTTGTTTGTGTTTCTTCTTCTTCTTTTTTCTTCTTCAGCTTATCATAGGGAAATTGTAAGTTGTAAAAGCGCAAGCTTATATAAATTTGACTGTTTCTAGTAAATTACTCGTCTCGTTTTATTATATTTGTTTACATTATTATTATTATTATTATTATTTATTTATTCGATATAAAAATGAAATAATAAAACGCGCACGCATTTCTTCAAAGTATATAACGTGCTTATTAAGAATCATAATGTTGTATTATACATTTGTATTACGACGATTGATTCCATATTGTTGTCATACTCTTTATACCAATGATTGCTTTTCTTATCAATTTGAAGACCTAGGTATTTACTTATATTCATACGTACAATATCGAATGAAAAGAAAGAAAGAAAGAATAAGAAATGTTATATAATATATAGTATTTATCTCTTTCACGTATAAATAGGCATTAAAGTTTATTGTATTTATTATAAGGGACAAGGATATGCACGAAACAAAATATGAATCGGTGATTATGAAAATGGCCTAAATCGTACATACATTTTTATATTTGTCCTTTGAATTATTTGATCATTTTCATTTTTTATATTTAAAGAACCAGAAAAAAAGAAAATTGTAATTTGAAGAATAGCAGCGTGTTCTATCAAAATATGTTCTTTCAATATTTTCATAATTATCGGCTTATGTATAAGTGTGTTACCCTTTACATGGGCATGGCTTTCGTTTCTTCATCATTGAATGAAACAGAAAAAAAGATGAAATAATAAACAATGTCGCATATTCATTTTTGATATGATATATTATTACGATCGATGACGATAAAGGATAGTCTCAAAAAAAAAAAAACTTCATGGAAAAAAAGGTGCCTACGATATACGGAAAATGTCTAAATGTGCGATTTTAAATGAAATTAAACACACATTTTATTCGCAATTTTCATTACAGACAACGGATAATTATCTTGAAATTTTAAATTGAGATCATTGAATTGACATTACCTCCTTCTTCTTATTATCATTTTCTCAGCGTGCATTAGAATTGTTAGCTAGGGGTGTTTTAGTTAAAAGTTTTCAACGATCGCTCTTTCTTCTATATAATTGGGGGTGGGTTTTTTTCTTTAAAGGGAAGAAACGCGCATATCCTATGAAAAGAGTAATGAAAAAAAAAAGAAAAAAAAAAGAAACGTTAAATATAATATTCGAAAACGAAAGTATAGCCTTAGGGAGATACATGCATAGATACACACATACACATACACGTACGTACGTATAGAAATACATACAAGTACATAATAGACACAAGGTCAAATTTGATTGAAGAAACTATATCGAAAGTTCGTAAACGATAATAAGAAATAACGTGACAAACAGATCGAATAATAATAATAATAATAATAATAATGATAATAGTAATAACATTAATATTAACAATAATAATAATAATAATAATAATAATAATAATAATAATAATAATTGGTGTATGTATTACATTGCGTAACATTAAATAACGATCGACAAGAAGAAAAAAAGAAAGAATGCAACAAGAATGCAACAAGAATGATATTGTATTTAATTACGCATTACACATTATATGGTGCTAGTTGTGACATAAACAAAGAAAAAAAAAGCAAAAACAAAAAAAACATAAGGCAATGCTTTAAGAGAAGTTTCCTTCTGCGATTGTCGTCATACATTGTAACTGTGATATCTATAATGCCAATTTATATATAGCTATGCAGTTCTTACGACAAAAGCTCAACGATAGTAGCTCGTATAATATTTGATTTGATTTATTTATTATTCCTTTTTCTTCTTCTTTTTATTTCGTTATGTGTGTGAGGTGTTTTATGTTTCTCAAGTAAATAATTTCATTCAAACTTCGAATAATCCTTGCTTTATTCTCGTGTGTGTATGATGTGGAGTGATGATGATGATGATGATCATCCTCCCACACGTTTGGTACAAAGATACATTTGTTGGTGTACATTGCCGTACGTGGATGGTCAATTGCGTACATAAAACTACTACTATTTATTACTACTACTACTATTATTATTACTACTACTACTACTACTACTATTACAACTATTACACGAAGTACACAATTTGAATTGATTGAAGTACACGAATTGATATTTGTAAAGATCTTTTGCGCATTTCTAATAGCTCGAGTAGCATTATTTTTCTTTCGCACGTATCACCAAATTACATACGTATACACACGTACACACGTACGCTAGCACGGACTCGTTATATTCTTTCACGTTAAACGAAAGCTCTATTTTCTGTCGTAAAACAGAAAAAATGAAAAAGAGTTATTCGAATTAACGGACTAGGGGAGAGAGTTGAGAGAGAGAGAGAGAGAGAGAGAGAGAGAGAGAGAGAGAGAGAGGACGTAATTAAGAAATGAAAAAAGATGCGTAATTTTTGCAAGAGAAATATACGACAAGAAATCATCGATTTAATTAGCCAAAAGAGATCAATGTTTGTTATCCGCTACTAATATATCTGTAGGAATATATCTCTTGTATATATAGAACTTCCGAATATGTGACTGTTATATAAAAAATTTAGATGAAAATAGAAAAGAAACAAAAACAAAGCGCAGATTAAAATAAGAAACGAATAGAACGTTTATCGAAGAAGCCGAAATGTGTGCGCAACGAAAAATAATAATCTTATGCCTATTATATTCGCACATTTAAAACAAAAACAAAACAAAAAAAAACATGGAATTGTTTGTTATTTTTGGTAATGAATTTAAATCTACAATTAGAAACAATCAAAATCTGTCTGTCAATGACATCTTTCAATGCGCATTTTCTATTAAGTTGTTCTTGCAATTCGATCGAATGATCGAATCAACGAACAAAGTATGTCAATCTTTTGTATGAGCAAGTATGAGCCTGATCTTTAGATATTACCTAGTACATATTATATAGAACGATGTTAACTATTTAGAGACAAACGAAATTTAACTAAACGCATTATTATTTATCTAATTATTAATTTAATGTATGATTTAAGTTGTTGTTCACATTTTTGTGTGCGCGTGTTTATCATCTCTCACTTGTGATGCTCCTCTTACGACTGGAAAATAATGTCTTTAAAAGCTGTGGTAGTAAAAAGAAAACAAAAAAAAAAAACAAAAAGAAGAAGAAGAAGTATAGGATATATAAAAAGTTAGTATATAAGCGATAGAGAAAATTTTTATTATAAATATTCGTCCTAAGGCTGAGACTAAGCTATCTGCATAAAACTTCATTAGATTTTATTGAAATCATTTCAATTGTATACGTTTGATTTTGTTCTGAATGCTTTTTTTTTTTTTTTTTAACGAGAGTACCGTCGCCTGGTTACGACACTTATATGGGTCAGTCGTTTATACGGGGCCTTTATTAAATGGGTCGTTATTAACGAAACGGTTATTAAAGTATTTACAATTGACTACATTTTTGATAATACACCATCGAAAGCTTACTCGCTGTTTAATAATAATTCTAAATAATCTACACACACACACATGCACACACGCAGACACACGAGGCTCATCTTTCTATAATGTTCATGTTTAACGTTACACCTATCTCTATGCGTATCTTGTACTTAATTCATCTTTTAACACGTTCGTTTTCACATTCATCGCATTCCTTGTTAATGGACCAGCTCACATTTAACAAATTTCATGTGTTTGTAAAAATTGTTCAATGGAATGTCAGCGCGAACGTGTTAAAAGTTAACAAAAATTCATCGATCAATTTTAACGATGCTGAAAGGTGAAGAAAATAAAATAATCCGTCTCGTAGATATCGAAATGAAATGGGGATGAAAGTTTATCTTTTTTTTTTTCTTTTTCTTTTTCTTTTCCTGATAGCTGCTTCGGCCTTAGATGCGATTAACGAATTTATTGCTGCTTTATTCGTGGGAGATACTGTATGTAAAAGACGAACTAATTAATAATGAACATTTGTAAAAAAAATTATTGCAGACTGTCGTAAAAAAAAAGAAAAAAAAAGAAAAAAAAAGAAAAAAGTCGATTCGTCCCAAAGAAGTAAAAGTATAAGGCAAGAAAAGGCGTACATACGTGTACAAAAAAGAAAGAAAGAAAGAGTCTTACGATGAAATTTGCTATCTCACGTTGTTAATCGGATTCATTTTTCAAGTTTCTCTTTTGAAAAAAAAAAAAAGAAAAAAAGAAGAAAAAGAAAATACGAACAAGCTTATATTTATAACGAAAATAATATGCGCAGATGTTTTATCCAAAAATCACCTCGTGTGTATGATACGCTGCATCGTTTAATAAGAGAATAGATGGTACATATCTATAATAGGTATGTGTTTGACAATCCTATTTAAAAGAAAACAAAAAACAAAAAAGAAAAAAAAAGAAAAAGAAAAAATAAAAAGTGCATGTGATATTGTAAATTATTGAATAGCTAGATGATACTTAAGTACACATGTACTTATTATGCGCTAACGAATAAATACAGATAACAAATATTTAAAAAAAAAAAAAATAAAAGAAACGCTCGTTCTCGAATATTTGCAAGGAGAGAACATAGTCTTTCATCGTTTGAAAAAAAAAAAAAAAAAATACAGAGAATAAGATAAAGAGAACAAAATGTACGACGCAAGATTCTTATTAAAATCCTTCATATGAAATTTGGGAAAAATTTTATGTCAGAGTATCGTTCTCGGAGGAATAGAAGTTGAAAAAAAAAATGCAATAATAAAATGGATATCGAGTAATATATACTGCGTGTCCAACGCCCAAAATACAGATCAATTCAGATTTAATATATCTATATATATAAGCTGAATGAATTACTGTAAAAAAAAAAAAAAAAAAAAAAAAAAAAAGGAACATCGATTAGATAGCAAATAATAAGTTCAAATTTCATTCAAAAGCATTCATTTGTAGTAAAATGATTAGTTCAAATGATTAATCATTC